GGGGTGTTTGGGGGACCGGAGGCCCGTGCGTAGAGTCCGGTGCGACCTGGCCTTGCCACTGCGATCGATACGGTTGGAGACTGCAGAAACCATGCTGCGTCTTGTCGATGGAAACTCATTTAAGTGGATTAACGTTCCCGAAACATCGACAATATCGATATTTTTCCCATTGGAGGCTATGGTAAAGAATCGATTACCAAGGTATATCCTGATAATCGATCCTTTTTAATGAGTTAAATGGCAGATCAATCGATTCATTGCAAATCACGACACACCGCTGTAACGCCCCCAGCCCTTCACTAACTCTATTAGAAATTAGAGTGACAATGGAGCGATTATTAAGGTATAACCTGATAATCGATCCTTTTCCATAGATTTGAAAGACAGATTGATCGATTTATCGCGAATCACGATACACCGCAGTAACGCCCCCGCAGCCCCCAACTTATGGAAATTTGAGCGACGATGGAGTCGATATTATTTTTTAGCTCCTCGCCTATGCTTACATGATTGTATTTCGAAGCTGAGGAAATACATAGTCGAAGCATTTGGAGGATGCCAAATTTTACCCACTAAAATATCAATTCCGAGATAAGTTGAGCCAGGCACGTAGCCCCCGAAAGCGAAAAAAAGGGATGAAAATAATGAGGAAAAGAAGAGACAGAAAATAGGCGAGAAAAGAGGAAGTTTGAACTTTCAAAATGCGTCCAAATAGAGTAGAGATTTCAACAATTTTCCAAATGAGTTTAATACAACAATTTGAAGGTATTTTAGGCTGAAAGTAAACAAAGGAACGTCATTTTTCCGCAGAAATTGATGAAAAATCTGCGTCACGGAAGCCTTACAATGCATCCAAATAGATTTAAAATTTCAAAATTTAGCCGGAGGAGTCCCTGGAATGGGAGGTATTCCACCCCCCCCCAACTGCCCCTTTAGTCGCCTTTAGTGGGGACCTCGCTCACCCAACCAAGCCCTTCGCGAAAAAATATCCTGGCTACGTGCCTGAGTTGGGCCGAAATTAACAAAAACACATAGCGAGCACATAACGAGTCATTAAAAATGTAGTTCGGAATTCGACTGGTCAAAAACTACACAGTGAACGAGATCCCAAAGGTGGCAAACAGAATTTAAATGTTCAGTCTTTCAAAATTAGTTCCGCTAACGTAGCAGTGCCTCCAAGTTTACTGTGGCAATTTTTATTCTAGACCTCGGAAGCCCTTTTGTTGGCCCTCGAAAAAATTAACTCCATGAGAAAAGTGTCAAAGGAGAGGGTGGCTACGGCCAAACTTCGTATACACTAACCATTCAAACAAAGCACGGCTGCACCGTTGGTGGATAATTACTTTTCAGACTTTTTGTCACCTCTGCGGCAAAAATTATCATTGCAAGCCACAGTTTCAACAGCTAAACATTTCACGTCATTGGAGGGAAAGTGTTGGAGAGTTTTGCTTATTTGTGCGTTAAATTCGAAACGTTGACTAAAATGAATAAGCTTTCTCCCCACCGACACAATAATGAAAGAAACAGCTCATAAGTATAGCAAGTGATGAAAGCTTCTATAGTAACATTGACTGTTGGATTTGGCCTTGAAAGAAGTCAAAACAAAGTATTGCACAAAGTAATGCGCTAATTTGAAGATAATTTCCTCGGCCTCTTGCGTAAAATGCATGCAAACTTTACGATGGGAAAATTTATATGGGAAAAATTCAGCATCTGAACTTTGCAAAATTCTAAAAATCGTTTATATTGATGTGGGAGCATAGTAAAGCGGGAGATACAATATTATAATGCACGGAAACCGGCAAACTCGACAGAATCAGAGTCACGCAGGGAGAAGGAGAGTAACATGTGCTCCCTGCCAGGATTGAGCGCCTTCAATAACTGTAACGGCAATTTGAGCGGCTTCGGAGCTCGTATAGTTGCGCGCAGTAGTTCGCTCACTTTTGCTCTATCATAGTCAGTCGTTGATTAATCTCCTCATTGCGTATCTCTCACTCCGCTGAGTTCGCCTTCAACAAGACCAATCAATAGGGGTCAGTCCTCCCGTGGACGAGTTTTAAGACCCTGCTGTGCATCGGGAGAGGGAAGCGGGGGTCGCGAATGCAATGCATTTCTTGTGGGAGCAGCGAGCAGCCAATAGGACGTCACATTGACTGAGATCCAGTGAGAGTCGGGCAGGGAGTTGGATCCTAAAAGGGTGCGCAGTGACTGCCCTGTGATGATTGGTCTTGGCCTTCAATAACCTTGATGGCAATATGTACGGCTCCTTAAAGTAAACTCTGGATTATTGTATGTGGAGGAGTGATTCGAATCGTGAACGTCACTTCTCTAGATGAAACGTAGAAAATGCTGCTCGAAAATAGCTTTCCTGAAAAGCATACTTTTTACCAGGATTTTTAAGATGATCACTCTAATTTTAATCTGTTTAATAAAAATTTTAATCTGAGGATGTTTTAATACGGGAATTACTTGCACTGTAATGTCGAATCAACCTAAAAATGTTTGAATATGCCTCATGTCTCCTGAAAAGATCTCCCAGCAATTCTCTGCGGGTTGCGTTTTTATCATTTTTTTTTTCCAAAATATTGACTGAAAAGTGACCGGATCATCTTAGGAGGCTGGAATTTTTTGTACATCAACCACTTAGTTTTCAGGGGTGGGGAATGTTCAGCGCGTAAACAAGCCATTATTGCTACACCCTAGCGCACTGCATCAACTTTGTTAGCTGGGACAGAATCAGTAATATACCGTTTGTGCAACACATCAACTTTTTCAGTAGATACCCCTCTACCCCTACAATTTTCGGATTTTCAAAATTTTCCAGACAGTCAATTCTGCTAATTGTAAGATTATCTTTCTTCAAGTACAGGAATATCAAATTTTCCATCCGCTAAAAAAAAGGCAAAACAACATTTCTGCGAAAATTTTCACACGGGGCCGAAGATCTTTCTGCTGTAAAATTTTGGTAAAAATTAGTAGGTTAGGTCTTGATTGAACCCTGATTGACCCTTGATGAGACCCGATTCGCTTATAAAAAAGGATTCGATCAGGGTCCACTCAGAACAGCCTCTATCTAATTTTCTGAGAAAAACACAAATGAATCAGTAACTCCCTGGTAAAAATTGGCAGTAGAATCTGTGTTCCAAAATAAAATAGACCTACAGCCGACGGTAAGATTTCCAATAGCTTCTATAGCCGGCAACACAATTTCTTATAGCCTTTTATAGCCGATGGCGATTAAGCAACAGCCTGACGATAAAGTGTATGCTATCCGTTACTAATTACGGATGCTGGGACTTAGTGAGTTTTTGGACTACCGCTCTCTTTTTGGGCCGTAGTATCTTGATTCATTTTTCGAGGGAAGCTCCGTACTTTTGAAGGATGCCTGCCATTCCTAATATGTTGGAGCGCCTTCAATTTCGTACGATACTGTGCAATACCTCTGGTGTGAAATAGTTGCTTCAAGCGCCGTGGTACGCTGCGGCGGGCGGGCAGCCAGCGCGAAACGCGCATTGGCACCCACAAATCTAACAGAGATACTTCACGCATTGCGCAGTGCGTGAAGTATCCCTGTTAGGTTTGTAGGCGCCAGTGCGCCGCCGCTCCGCTTTGTGTTAGGCTCTAATATTTTATCTCGTGGAGTCAGCGTAGTTCAACTCATGACTTTGAAATGTTTGCACACTCTGTAAGGATTATTCTCATTTTAATTGAAGAAAACAAATATGTAGTAAAGGAAAATATAATGTGCGTCTTGTAAATATTATGGTGATTCCGTATAAACTTGCGGATTTACAAAGCACACGAATTTCTACACACTTTCTTATAGCCTTTTATAGCCGATGGCGAAAAAGCAACTGCCAGGCGATAAAGTGTAAAGCCCGGCGACAGGAACTATAGCCCGGCTGTTTAATTTTTTATCGCTTCGTGTAGCCCGGTCGTATGATTTTTTCCACTTTCTACAGCCAGCTATATGATTTTCTATCGCCTTCTTCAGTCGGCTATAAGAACTTCTATGGTATTTTGAAACGCAGCTCCTATCGCCAATTTTTACCAGGGCTCTTACAAAGGTTTTAGCGCAAGAAATGAAAATTAAAGAAAAACTGTGAAAACTGCGTTTAAGACGTCTGGTCTCCCCGACCCAATCCAAGAGCTTGATTGCCTCAGTATTGGGGTGAGATTCCAGACGCTCTTCGTATCTCTCGTACATACGAGAGACAAAAACTTCCAGACTTTCTATTCCAAGTTCCGTCCTGATATCGACGTTCCTTTCGTACCATCTAGCTTGGGCTATCTTTCTTAACGCAATGTTTTGGATAGTTTCTATCTCTTGTATGTTCGAGTTTGCCGAACAGGCCCACAACTGACAGGCGTACGCCCATACCGGCCTTATCATGGTTTTATATAGTAGGATCTTGTTTTTAAGGCTTAATTTGGAATGCTTTCCAATAAGCCAGTTCATTTTTTTGCATTTTAGCTTAATTTGTTCTTTTTTTGTAAGAATATGTTCTTTATATTTTAACTTAGCATCCATGATAAGGCCGAGATAGCGCGCCTTATCCACATGCGGAATGGCTTTCCCGTCAACAACCAGGGGGATATGAACGAAATTCCTGAGTGTGAAAATCACGTTTTCTGATTTGGTGGCATTTAATTTAGTCCCATCAGCGCCAGCCCAGTTCTGGATATCGTCCAGGCTCTCCTGCAGGACTTCCACCGTATCTTCTGAGAAGAAATGAATCGACACTCCAGCCTACCGGACGATGAACGGACCGGCTTTCTCCCTTTACATTCAAAGCACTCCTCTTCATTAAATATGATGATGACTTAATTACTGATGAGCACACTACTGATGACCGCTTACAAGTGCAATAACTTACTACAATCTTAAAAATAGAGATATTTTTTTTCTGAAAGGACGAATATTTACGGCCTCATTCTTGAAAATTCCAGATAGCTACATTGAATTAAGGATTCGAATCGAATCAAATCAAGATGTGCGAGTAATATTGCCGTTTCCCGAGCGGAGGAACGTAACTCAGTTTCAAGGTTGCAAAATTGACTCACAGAATTCAACTTTTGTACAGTAACGTACCTGTGCGATTTAAGTGGAGCATTTTTCAGGTTTCTGCATGAGACCAGAAGAAATTTCCAAGAAAATTCCGGTGAAAAATTCCCAAACTTTTCCCAGTAAAAATGCAATTTGCGAGGCGAAATTCGGCAACATTAGAATATAGTTACGTTTTTTCGTGAGGGGAACGACGATATATATCGTGCTTCGGTGTGCGAGTCTTTTCGAAAATGACCGGACTTTTCAGATGTTTTTAGGCTTTTTAAACAACCGTTTCTCATCCTGTCACCTTGCAACAAGATGCATCTATGCCTGAGCAACCACCAAATTTTCGATTTTTTGGCGCTTAAGTCTTTTTAAGAATGACCAATTTGAATCCAGCTCCGAAAATGTCGCTTTGTCTGCACTCCGACTGACGTTTGGATAAGCCGTGGATGAGGACAACGGCCTGATCCTGAATCCCCGTCAAGATCGAGCTTTTGATGCTTGGATGCGGTCTGAAGGAAGAACCAGACCGACCAAAGCTTCCTACTTCGCCGGTGTGCAAGCGGCCGCCTGCGCCTCAAGCCCGGAGCAAAGGAGGAGATGGTATAAAGTTAGAATCAAGGTCGAAACCAACCTCAGTCAGTTACTGGTCATTCGTCATGGAGCTGTGGTCGCGGGTATTTTTAACTTTCGCTTTCATAGGTAAAACATATTTCATTATCTTAACCACTATAATTTTTCGAGCCCTCATCACCTCCAGCCATTCATCGCCACGAATCTTCTTTTACTACCGCATAACTCCTCATTTTAATTGAAAAACACCTTTTGCCGTGAAATTTCTTTTCAATGCGTTCCTTCTTAAACTCTCAGAATGTTCCAATACACACAGTTTTCCCCTCATTCGTTAAGGCTCTAGTTTTTAAACGATTCATCGTGAATTTCAAAAGATAAAAACAAATAGAGTCAGATTGTATGTTGAACCAATGCGCTTTAATGGAGGTTAGTGCCGCAAAAGGCTATTTTTTCATGTTATTTAGTTTCCCCGTCGATTCATTTTTTCAAACGTACATGATAAAACAGTGCTGAGATGGGATAGACTTGGTAAAATTTTGCTTACTCAAATTTTATAAGTTTGAAGAAACAGTACCACTGCCTACTACCTTTGGCCTGATAGGCTAGGTTCCTTTCCCTTTTATTTCCTGACGTTTATCAAGCCAAATCGATAGATCGTGTTCGATGGTGGTTTGATGTAATGTTTGGCTCAAAGAAATAGAACATAACCTCAAACAAAAATTTTAGGACTTAAGTTGGCAAAACTAAATATGAGAAAATTCCTAACAATTTCACTCCTCATTGCCATTTTGTACTCATAAGTACCAAAAATCTATCACAAAAACCCCGTTCCTCAGATTACTCAATAGGCTATGTTTACATGTTGAACCAATTGATATCTATACAATCTCACCTGTTCGATGTATCGAATACGATCCATATGCGGATATTTCATTCAAGAATACGTAGAGCAGGATACGTAAAAATAATGTCTTTCTCTTTATCGCGGAAAATACTGTCGCTATACAGCATGCCCCTAATGATCCGTGAGAAATCCATCAGAATTGTAATTTCGCCGAGTATCATCCGTTTCATCATTAGTTATAATCGCCAATGCATGAGAGTAATAAACATGTATTCACACCTTAATTAAAATAATTATAAAATATCAATTATTTTAGGAGAAAATATCAGTAATTCCCACGTGGTCTTTGAGCTGCACTCAGTGTTGTGAATAATTTGAGTTGCTTCATGTTTAGTATTTATTACGGTGATTAAGAACCAAATCAAACGTGCAAGTCGTTTAAAATATGAAATATTATCTGTGGAATTGCAAATTTGCAAGCTTACAATCAGTGAAAGGAACAAATTGGGCTACATGTTGCACTGAGAAACCACCATTTTTGGCTCCTTCAAAAAACCATCTATCTCCATAGGAAAACGAATGACATGCATGTCGTTTCTGAAATGAGCCAGAAGTAGTGCTTCCTAATTGCGAAGTATAGTTCAATAAAGCAGTATGACTGCCATCAGCCGCATGACGCAAACATTTTTAAGTCCATTAAATGGACGAATTTCTGTCAAATGGAACTATGTGCATTTAGACAAGAGCCTTGAGACCAATAAGAATATATGCATAAAAGGAATCACGTTATATTGCACACAGTTCCCTTCGGCAGAAATTCGTTCAAATAGTCGCCCTAATACCGACATTTACGTTTAAATATGATTTTGTCAAGCAAATGAGAGGATGAATCAGGGATAACCACTTCCAATAATAGAGATCAGTTTCGACAGGTCAACAAACAGACTGAAGGTCACGCAGAATTTTCCTTCTTCTCTGAAATTCATCGAGAACGATGTTCTCTCTGCGGTTTGGTTTTTCACTAAAAAATTATTGATCTTAAACTAACGAGGATTCATTAATCTCAGAGGGAGCAATCAAATTGTCCGCATAAGTCCTGGTACTCTACCTGATTTTTTCATCTATGGGCGTCTGAGTGGTTTATTTTTAGGAGCTTACTCCCCCTTGTTTTTACCACGTGGTTTATTCGCCGGTGCTAAGCAATTCATTGCCATCTGTGTGTCAGCAAGAGCCCTCAGTTAAACATGAAAACGCTAATATCAAGGCTTGAACCAAATGAAGGCGTCGTCATTGCGCCTAACGCTAACTTTTGCATAATTCAAGCTCTTTACAGCCAGCAGATCTTCAGATCCACTTAAAGTATGAACTCGTGAAATCAAAGACATAAAACGACTTTTAAAAAATCTGATTGATGTTGATTTTTATCGTTGCAAAACTTTTTAATCCTTTAGTGCTAATCCAAAGCATGGCTGACATTATTGATTTTTCGTTTATAACAATTTCTTAGTCTGGCAATAAGACATGCTGAGAATTATAACCATCGGGAGAAAGTGCATCTACACTCAACAATTTATTGGATCTGAGAATCACCTTCGGTACTTCCTATTCACATGTTATGGTTGAACGGTGCGTTATGAGATTTAAGCCAAACTACGCCACGAAGTTCGCAACTACTTATATAAAAAGGATACCCAAAATAGAGCAGTGAAAAAATATCCCGCGGGGAAATGAAAATAAACTGCCCAGCAGAGTGTGTCTTACTCAACTTATCGTGAGGAAAGTCATAAATTAGAAATAAACAATGTGAAGTGTTTTTTTTTTCTTCTTTTTTTCGATCATCGAAGTGCCCAGAGCATGATCCGGATTAAGCCGTCGCACCATGGATCGAGTCAATAGGAGAGGTCGGTCAAAATTTAGAAACTTCAAACGCTGATAACTCCGTTTCTACAACACTTTGAAGTTTTAAAAGTGGTTCCATTGGTTTCCTCTTTAAATTTCCTTTTAGAAGCATTCCTTGAAAGTTAAAATGTGACGAAATAAACATCAAAATTTGCAGTTTCATTCAAAAATTTCATGTCCGACCTCTATAATTGACTCGATCCACTGTGCGTCGTCTCGTGGTCAAGAATTTTGTTTGTCCTGTTCCGCCTTGATCGCAGAGTAGCATATGGGAAGCTTTGAGCTTATTTACAATAAATTCGGCAACATTGGAGGGGTCGTCAAGCAAGGAAGGTGCAAATGCTTGCTGCTCACGGCAACTATCAGTTTTTGCGGATAACAATCCAATTTTCCTATTACAAACAGTGTGAAGTAAGACCATTTACGAAAGAAAAGGCAACACCGTGCTATCTTGTCTCGGAATAAAGCGCTTAAGGCGGTAGGCGCTTTAAAGTTCCTTCACAGTTCATTGGATGTTGCCATTCAGCACTGTAAAATCCTTATATTACCATCGAAGAATGCGATAATTTAACGAATGATAGTTGCATTTGGAAACGCCGTCTCATGCATTCAACATTCTTGCCACTTCACTCGGGTGTAGCTTTGAGTTTCATGAAAAAAAAAAAACAAGGCGAGTGTGCCGCCAAGTGCTCTCACTTCATTAAAAAGGCTAAACGAGATAAAGCGTCGTGGTAAACACTAATAACAGGTGAATTGCGGACTCTTCATTTCATTTAATATTCTTTTCCTTACCCTCCTAATTATTCACTGATTTCAGACTAAAATTCCTGAACATTAAGAATATCTTCCGTTCTTTACGCCAAAATTCATTTTAAGTTTGAATTCATCGGAAATTCGTATGAAATTATAGTAGGGACCACAAAGAGCTAAACGAAACCTGTCCTAAATGTCCCTTCATTTTTGTAAGGTATGCAATTATTGCTCAGTGAATTTGAAAGTTTCCAATTAACGCGTTTAGTGAGAATATTTGATTGGGGAACATGGTTTAGGGTGTTTTAGTCCTTGCATAGTCCGCAGTGGTCCGTGGGTAACTGTTTTAGTAGAGAACCCTTATGGTATTTTTTTCCTGTAATTTTGCATTTTTTCGTCTTTTAACGACTTTACAAAAAGAATATTACCCAAAATGCATGAAATACCATACCAATTTATATAATTACATACCAATTCGGCTATAGCCATCATCAGGGTAACAAAAATAAGAACGCAAAATGAAATAGGAACAACAACCCCTATGATACCATCACGCCTGAAGCCGTTCACAAAGGGAGTTTAAGTCTACTATGTTATATATGTGACCTTTGGATCAATATACGAGGCAGAGCTAATATTAAAACAGGGATATTTCATGATCCCGCGTGCGGAGTCAATTTAATCTCACAGTGTTTAGCGTTATACATTCGAAATGAATCGTTGGGTAACTGTAGGACCATGTGAGCGAAAGCTAGTGGGCTTTCGGGGCATCGCTCTCAGCATTGGGTTTTACCTCTATTTTTTCTCTCTCGTTTCGCACAGGTATCCCATCACTTGAAATAGAATTCGCCGGAAGAAGTAGGGCGGCACGGATAAAGTAGAAATAATTAAAGTAGCAAAAATGGGGAGACATCAGGGGTGGAAATTCGCTACGTGAAGCTGAGCCGGCACGTCCTCCATTCGGACGTATCTCTGCCAAAAGGAACTATATGCATAAATACATGAGCTCTAAGACCCATAAGAATACATGCATAACAGGGCTCACGTCATATTGCGCATACTTTCGTTTGGCAGAAATACGCCCATTTCATCCTTTTTCATTCGATCTAAATTCTATAGGGGTCCACGATATAAGCTTGGAATATATCAGCATGATTTTATTTATTGCCATCTAAGTTTTGTGAACATTGTTTTTATTTTCACGTATAATTCCGAGGAAGTATATAAACATATTTACATATAACGCAGCGCTTCTTTCTGTTATCTCGTACTCTATTCCCACGCTTATTTTATAGGGCGCCGCGTCGTTGAGAACGTTTTATCGATTGAAAGTGCGATGTGAAACCGATTCACAGGCAATAAACGTAATTTTGATCCTAAATATTTTTGCTCCTTTGAAGGGAGCATAATACACCGAATCTGATGGAATAAAAGGAGCCAATTATCGTGAAACGTGATCTGAATCACTCTTAACTGGACGTACTTCTGCCAAACGGAACTGTGTGCATTAGGACGTGAGCCCTGTTATGCATATATTCTTACGGGTCTCAGGGATCATGTTTTAATGCATATAGTTCCGTTTGGCAGAAATAGGTCCAACTGATGCTCGCCTTCAGTTCCACTTCTGTCAGATTGGGATGCAAAATAACTCAGCTTGGGTGAGCGATGAGAGAGAAATGGTTATTATGTTATTTTGAAATCGTACGCTGCTGCTTTACGACCACAACACTGAGTTATCCAGTCACAGCACATCCACAATCGAGGTTTCCATGAATTTGGTTTTGAAAAGTTTTATTGATTAACTCGTGCTACTGCTACCTTTATTTTGAAACTCATTATTTGGAATCATGATTTCAGTACTAATTTACCAAATTTCACAGGATCAAATTATGATGGCAAGTTTCGCTTCGAGTCCGCAGTTGAAAATAATAATATTATGTCGAGTTTTTGGCTCGATTATAGGTAGGACTCCAGCTCAGAGTCAATTAGACATACTCAATGAACGTCATCTTAGAGTCTGTTTGTAATCAAAATCGACTATAGTCAACTGTAGTAGTTAATGTTCACTTGACCTCATCTCCGATATGAAAACGGATTCCAATCCACTTTAACAGTGCTCTGATATTGGATCAAGGTCACTTTGTGCGTGAAAGTAACACAAGTATTTGTCCTGTTCTTCTTGCTTCAATCTTCGAGAAAATAGCAAATCCACAGGGAACTTTATTTCTATGTCTTTAAAGCGGAAGATACGCTAGCATTCTATAGCTACGAAAATTGAACTTTTCTTAAACGTAGTTTTGGCATTGTGGAAGTATACATCCCCCCCTCCCCCCGGAAAAGCATTATTATAACGCTTGCACTGAAAAAAAAAAAAAACTCCGGCCGTGGAGGCCGTACATACGCGCTACATAGACATACCGTCCGCGTGCCAGGCGCAGAGACCGAAAGTTTCGGGTGTAGCACCCGGAACAATCAAAGTTACGGCTCAGGCACCCGGAACTTTCGGCCTCCGAGCCTGGACCTGGAAACTGACGGTATGTCTATATAGCCCGTAACTTTTTATTTTCAGTGTGGTGCTAAATTTCGAAAAAAAATATCAAATCAAACTCTCCTAAAACTCCTCTTCAACTCCAACCTAAAATATTTTTTGGATGAGTGCTCTGAAACCGGTGCAATATGGCGTGTGCTCCGTCCTGAAACTACTCGCTGCAGACATAAAACATCAAAGGTCATTAGCTCTCAGCTCCGGCTCTCATGTATAGAAGGTACTCCATAGAGGGTGGGTTCACAACCTCATTTTAAAATACCCCGATCGATCGTTAGATAAAGGTTGTCACGTTCGTTAGTAATGTGTTGACATTTTTCAGGTTCATCCCCCGAATGACCTCGTGCTCTTGCTCTCGATGAAAATCCTTTCATATCTTCAAATTTAAACGACTGGAAATGAGAAAATGCTTTTTGAAATAACCTGGAAGCTATTCATAAACGGCGTTCCACAATCACTTTAAGCGCGAAAATTTAATGAAAGTTAATTTTAAAAAATCCATCAATATCATTTGGACCGCGTTAGACTGAAAGGAACCAAGCCACACTAGCTATTGCCAAATTTAACCGGACAGTTTAATTTTTTACAAGAGAACGTTTGTGCGGATTATTTTGAAAATTTTGAGGAATCTGCTTCGTACTATGTAGAAAATTCACTGAGATTTGCGCAAAAATCCGTACAACCGTTTTCGTGTAAAAAAATTAAATTGCCAAGATACTAGTGTATATGTCTTCATTTTTTTTTCATTTACAGCGTCCCTCATGCATTGCTCTATCGTTTCGTGAATAGCCGAACATTATCAACTTTTCGTATGGAAGAGGACCAATCAATTAATTGCCTAGCGTAAATGACTGCTCTAAAATTCAAGAACGTTCGGACCAGTAACCATTTGTTTACTTTCAGATCCTAAACAGTGTATCATGCATCCCTCGTAAAAATTATTTATGAGCGGCTCATGAAGCTTAATTAACCCTTAATCATCAGAAGCCAATTATGACCTGCTAATAGCTCATTTTTACCACAGAGCTGGAGGTTTATGCCAAAAATGAGGGCAGGGGACGTTTCTTTCGAAAATACAAGACTAACCAACAAACATAGCTTCAAAAACAAAACCAAAAAAATTGAAAAAATCCGAGGAAATTTTGCGCGAACTTGCGCGGAAGAACCTTCAAATATCTCAGCTAACGTCACGTCTTTAAGCATGGGATAATATCACACTGACCTGAATAATATTGGGTGAATTTCGCGTCCGTGTTTATTTAGTTTATCTTATTGGCACTATGATCCATATTTTGCCTCATCAAATTGACAATCAAACATTGAGCATAAATACACTGACATTAAGCGAGTAGAAACTATGAAGTTTATTCTGGGCGTTTTCCAACGTGGTCGTATAAATAGTCGAAACCGGAGAGTGCAGGATTTCAATCATAAAAAAATAATCCCCGTTAGATCAATGCAACAGGATTTTGCCGATGAAAATGAGAATTGTTGACACTTTCTAAATATTCAACATAACAGGTGAATCTCAAATATCATATGATACATCATATGAGAGAAAAACACGAAGAAATGGCCCGACCTGTATGTAACAAGGTGGAGAATTGGCGCTGGGTCCACACTATTTCAAGGGGAAAACAAAGCCAAGAAGTTCCGAAAATTAAAATTAGAGTCAAAAATAAAAGAGTATGTCACTGACGACTGTGATCTGCTGATGAGGTTCAAAAAGATCCAAACCTGTAGAGATCTTTCGCCGTGACTCAAACTTAATATTCCAACGCAAACTGCCTGAGCTGAACACTCTCCCCCCGTCAGTTTTGTATTGGTACTCATTAGAGTTAAAAACATTTATTTTTGACTCCAATTTTAATTTTTGGAACTTCTTGACTTTTTTCCCCCACGAAATGGTGTGGATCCAGCACCATTTCTCCACCTCATCTCTTCTTATATTTAGTCAGTTTATCAGTGAATACTGGAAAAAAACACATTGGATCCAGAGTCCAGACTCTTGAAAAATACTCTTGATTCAATCGGATTTTCGATTGAATCAAAACGAAATCCGCTTATATTAAGAGGCTTGGCTCTTGATTGAAGCCAGATTCTGATCGAATCAAGAGTACTTTTTCTTGTCGATGTTTTTAAGAGTCTGGACTCTAGATCCAATGTGTTTTTTTCCAGTGTTATGTTATGTTTATTGCTGATAATGTTTATTCCTGACCTACTTGACTGCCGTATGATTTGATTGCAAATGTGTCTATAGCTTAACAGATTTTTAGGTGAAGCACTCGTGTATGTTCAGCGATAATCGTTTAATTTGATCGTCCATATCTTCTCTCTTAATTTCCCAGCGAATGCAACTACACACAGAACGAACCCCCCCCCCCCNCCCCCCCCCCCTTACCCCCAAAAAAAACATGTTTTAAATTTTGTCTGTATTATTATTTGTTTTCAGCTGCAGCAGCGGCACAATCCAAGTCATCGAACCGACGACCGGCTCCTTCAAGACCGGCGACGACGACGCAACAGACAGCGGGCGCCCTCACGGACGAGTGCCCGGAACCGAACGGGTACTTCGCCGACGGATACCAGTGCGACAAGTATTACGTATGCACCGACGGTGTGATAACGGAAAAGCTCTGCCCGGACGGCATGGTCTTCAACGACTACAACCCATCCGTCGAGAAGTGTGACTTGCCATTCAACATCGATTGTTCCCAGAGGCCGGAAAGACGTAAGTCCTCCCACGCACCACTCCATGTCCCCATTTCCCCTCATAGACGATTTTAGTGGTGACGTCACGGAGCGATATTGGTGGTTCGGTATCTCGAAAGTCGAAATGTGCCCCATCAAAAAAACATAACCTCCAAAATGAACAATTGACGAAATAATGCTAAGACTAGCCTGAAACCAAACAATTAATCCATGGGACTTTAAAATTATGAAAGCTACTCATTCACCAAAACGTTTGGGATCACAATCACAAGAATTGATTGTAAAATAAACTCGTAATATCATAGACAGCCATCGAGCGAATACCCCTACCCCCCTCCTGCCCATATCCCGCAGATTCCTTCATGTTCGTTTGTTAGGGCACGTTTCGACTTTCGAGGTATCGAAATTATAACGAGATGTGACGTCACACTAAATGCGTCTATGGTGGACGGTATCCTGTCGTCATAGCAAAGAGAGCCATAACTCTCAATTTTTCGAAATGGGTTGATTGCGCTGGTTGCAGAATTGTTTTTCGATGCTGAATTCTCGCAGATCAGCTAAAAATAAGGCGATTCGTCCAAACAGCGAATTTGTATGTTCAATGGAGATGTTGCGTTTGTGAGGAATTTGCGATTTGACTATTGATTCTTACATATGTAAAAGTTCGTGAGAAACGCGATGGTGCCACTGGCCTTCTCTGAAATCAACTCCCAAGCTCAAAACTCGCGCAAACTCATTAAGCGCCTGCAAGACTGCTGGAATACTTCATGCATTGCGCCAAATAGCACGGTCGGCGCCAAGCGCATGTTAGCGCCTACAAGACTGCATGAATACTTCTCGCATTGCACCAAACGCAATGCGAGAGTTATTTGCGATAACTATTCGACTACGGGTATAGGCACATTGTCACTAATTGGATTGGAACACACGATGGTGCCACTGGTTTTCTCTGAAATCAACTCCCAAGCTAAAAAAAAAACTCTCAAGTTGAGGCCAAAATGGAGGGGATATCCCACGCTACCCTGAGAGTCCACCTCTACTTCAAGAAAAACTCTGCATGCAAAGATAGGGAGCGAATATATTATCAGGGTTGCTGTGTTTTTAATATTACAGTCCCCAAATAAAGTGGTAGCCCTGTCAATGTATTTGCTCCCTTTGATGTAGACGAGGACTCTCAGGATAGCGTGGGATATCCCCTCCATTTTGGCCTCAACTTGCGAGCTTTTTTTGAGCTTGGAGTAGATTTCAGAGAAAACCAGTGGCACCATCGTGTTTCTCGCGAACTTTTACGTAAGAATCAACGGTAAAATCGCAAATTCCTCACACATGTAACATCTCCATTGCCGTTTTCAAATTCTGTAGGGGATTAATTAAATTAATGAACAATAAGAATGTTAGTATCTTAGCTAGAAGTTGATTTCAGAAGTTTTCGTCGGCAAATCGTGTTCCGCGTGAAATTCTGGTGAAGAATCATGAATCGGGGTGATTAAGTGCGTACCTTGTTCATTAGTCCATTCAATCTAAAAAAGCGAACACAGAACTTGCGTAACTTTTTTCAGAAAACATATTTTATTGGAAGAAACGAGGCAACGCTAGAATGCTCATACGGCGTCGAAACACAACGTGGGCCTTTTAAACCCCAATGTTCGATGCCGCGATTATCATAACGCGAGTTCGAATAATCGCGCCTGATATTAACACGGTGCGGTCGGCAGCAAACTCATATCAGCGCCTGCAAGACTGCTGGAATACTTCATGCATTGCGCCTATTAGTACGGTCGGCGCCAGGCGCATGTTAGCGCCTACAAGACTGCATGGATACTTCTCGCATTCCACCAAACGCAATGCAAGAGTTATTTGCGATGACTATTCGACTACGGGTATAGGCACATTGCCGCTTATTGGATTGAGGATGCATCACACTATGGAGATGGTCATTAATTCATGAGTCCTGTCCACAACGCTCTCGTGCTATGCCCGCGGCTCATACATCCTGCATTCAGTTGGCACATAGTTCTGTTTGCTGACTTTAAAATCCCGCTTTTCCAATTCTTCAAAAGGAATCACGCCCACTTCTACATTGTTTCTTATTCAGCTTTCCAGAGCACACCCCATATTTTTCACCTGCACATAGTTCTGTTTGATATAATTACGTCCAATTAACCGAGATATCGATCGCTCTTTGAAAGATTCAATTGCTGTATTCATCCACCGCGGTAGTGACAAACTTGGTTCCCTCCACCTTGCTTTCATCAATAAATGATACACACATTTGCACTGGTTACGCAACGTGAATCTCGGATGGAAGGTTGGTGGAAGAAACCAAGGGTGTCACCACCGCGGTGGATGTCGTCAAAGCCCCGACTTTTCAAAGGGCGATATCTCGGTAATTACAGTTGATATCTTATCATTACAGTTATATTTAAAATTTCATTTTGGTCGGTAGAGGATCCATGTAATTCCTGAACTCAAAAGCCTCATTTCTTCGAAGTAGGTCATCGTGGGTTGGTTCCAGTCAGTTGAATTCAATCCAATTAAGAATTCAATCCTACATCCTCGGGGCTTTTGAAACACTTCTGAGGAAGAAAATATTTTCTATGAAAAGGTGGATGGAAGTGAAGTGAGGAAGGAAAGAAAGGAGGAAAGTCGGTGAAAAGGGAAGAGGAAAACGTCTAAAAGGTATATGGGGAGGGAAAAAAGCATTCAAGTTTTAAGAGTTGCAGCGAACTGACGTCGTAATTTTAGACTTGGAATGCTAACCAGTTCCCTACATTTTATTACTTCCCATGGCTCAGTGAGTGGGTGGGGGAGGGCAGCCTCTAATGCTGTGCCTCTTATTATGGAATGATTGATGAGCTGTGCATAAAGCAAAAAAGAGGCTGGCGGCATGCTGTCTGTGCAGGAGGCCTTTCTGGTCAATCATATCAAAAAGCTCGTTTTTATTATCTCGATACTTATTTTCCTAAATGTACCCTTTAAAATCCGTTATTGAGGTCATACTTGAGAAAAGTATCTTTACAGAGGAGAATGTATTTGTACCTAATTTAGTTTTGCGGAAACAAGTCTGTCATGCTGGGGAGGAACGTCGTATGAGTCTTCAGACGTTGCAAAATCTCCTTTCAAAAATCACGAATTTTCGGGAAAATGTGTGGATAGTTTTCTTCCAATTTTTCAGAAAATTTTGTTCCCAATTTGATCTACAGTGTCTGAAAATTTCAAAGAAAAATTTCATAACTATCTTCAAAAATGAATTTTCTGAGAGAAAATTTGGCAACATTAGAATGTTTATACGGCTGTTTTCCTTAGCACAGCAGAAGTCACATCAAGATCGAACCGAGCGAAAAAGTTAAAGTTTTAGTTCATTACAAGACTCAACGTTGAGATAAAGTTCAACGCCCATTTTAAGATTCAAAACATTTTTATACACACGTTGACAGAAGGAAATTGCAATAAATTCCGCTAAAAAATATTTCCAGCTCATTTTCCCTTCAAAATATAACTTGGCTCTTCGTGTGTTTTTTTTAGTCTGCTTGTGGTTCTCTTAGATAATGAAACGATCAAGCTGTACATGAAAACTGTAATTATGGCCATGCGTAGTTAAATAAAGGCCACGTAGGGAGCGTTTGTTCTAGCCACTACATCTTTTTCAAACGTGGTGTCAGGTTTTGGACTTCAATTTTACTTTTTCGTGCAGAAATTGGAAAATTTACTGAAAAATCTATTCAGGTACTATCTACATTCATTGACGTGGGTAACTTATCATTTCAAAAAAATGCATCCCATTGGATTGACGAAAGCCTGCGGGTTGTTGATATAACCGTTAATGCATCTCACATAAAATTCCAGTGCGTCTGATGGTGGGAATATTCCATTCGAAATTTTCACCGTCAGACGGCCACGTAAGAGGCTCAACTTTGAGGTCATTAATTCCATGGTAGAAGTCCGGAGGTCATTTTCGGAGGAAGTCTGTTTCTCTACGCGCCATTCTTGTTTGTATTTTTACCGGGTTTTGTTTGACCGTAAGCGTGAGGCGATGAATGATGTATTTGCGTGCTCATCCCTCGTTGAAGTGGGGTCGGAGCGAGATTGACCACCGCTGAAACAGACGGCCCCCGGCCCGCGCTAGGACGCTCGAATTCGTGGCATGACCTTAGCTAGGTGAAAAATGTGCTCGAAACTAGTAACCCGTCATGCCAAGTTTACTCGCAAAGTTGCCAAGCTTTAAATTCCCGAGTTTCAACCTTTGGCCTCACCACAAAGCTGATCGAATTCAAAAGAAATGAACCGTACATATAGACTGATTTGGTAGTTGCGTTATTCTTGCGACAGAGACCGCAATAGCTCATATCCGAGTTGCCTCGGCCTCAGGTATCAAGAGGCAACTGTACCGGGAATTCCCTCGGTATTGAAATCTGGACGGGGATCGGAACGCGTACCGCGCTGTCAACCCCTTCGGAGGCGCGNAGTTAACTCCAAAGACTGGATTTCGTATATCATTGCCGGGCAATGGTATTTAACTCAGAATCTAATGATCACCCCCGGATCGATCCCTCAAATGTCAAGATTTCAACCGCATTGCCGGCCCGTCCCATCCGACTACCTGAATTCTGATCGCAGAACAAAAGAAAGGGAATCCCATTCAGATTTGAAGCCAGTGCCCGCGATGAATCGATCCGGCCTCTCGACACTTGACGTGATACGTGCCTTTATGAGCTATCGAAGCATATCATATGCAGTCTCTGGCTTGCGATATTCGACTCATCGATCTGTGATGGCTCCGATTTTTGATTTATTGATTTGCGATGGTTCAAATCAGAATAATAAAGCATCAGGTGGGGTAGAACATGCATTCATATTAATACCCTGCAGACTAGACTTGAACCCTAGCGCATTCCCATCACAGGACCTCATAAGGCAAGCTCAGGCCCCCCTCCCCCTCTTAAAAGATATTCGTAATACTTAAAAGACCTCCAAATTAACGCTATATCAATATTAAAACTATCAAATTACGTTTCTCGATTTGAGACGTTGCATAGGTTTCCTGCTATACCTTCTTTTTATTACAAGTATTGAAAAAACCGTGTTAGTTTTCTATGTGCGAGGAAAATTCGGTGCAATCTAAAATGAATGATATCGGTTCGTTCTCCTCCAAAAAATAAAATGGGAGCGGAGGTTTTTACGCAAACGTCGAGATACGAGGTCTGGTAGCTTCACCGTCGAAATATCGTAAAGGTCTGAGCCCCGACCCCCAACCCTCGACTGACATGGCAACGGTGCACAGTGGATCGGATCAATAGAAGAGGTCGGACAAAATTTGGAAACTTTAAACGCTTAAACTCCGTTTACACAAAACTTTGAGGTTTTAAAGTGAATTAATTGGTTTCCTGGTGAAATTATCCGCTGGAAGCACCCATCAAAATTTAAAATGTGACGAAATAAACATCAGAATGCAGAATTTGCATGCAATTTTTTTATTGCTTCATCTGAGAGAGCTTAAAGAGCGTATTTCACAGTATTTTTTATACTTTTTTTCTGATATGGGAAATAGTATAAAAATAGATTTAAAAGTGAGAAAGTGAGAAAGTTTAAAAGTGACGTCATCTGGCGGCATTTCCCAGTTAAGCACACGCTCTTTAGCAGATTACATCATTTTGTCGTATCTTCTCCAATAATTGTTCATTTTATGAACCAAGGGTATCCTCGTGCTCAGTTCACTCAGTAGTTTCCACATAAAACACGAAATTCATCAAAATTCAGACACCTGCAAATTCTCTCTTTGCAGTTTTAGTCAAAATTTCACGTCCGACCTCTCTGATTGACTCGATCCACTGTGCGGCGAGAGAAGTAAAATGAGGGCGAGACAGACTGGGGATAGAGTACAGGCCGTTCGTGTGTGAAGTACGTCAACCGGCGTACAAGACCGCTTGCCAAACCGAAGTAGACTCTGTCTTTTAATCGGGACGAATTGTGCGAAATTGGGGAAGTGCGGCAACCGTGGGCCTGCACTTGGTGGGCGGACGTTCTGTCGCCATTTCATTAGAGCGCGACGTCCAACGTCGATGCGATGCGACGTCACCGTGGCTGACGTCTCGCGCACCAATTTAGCAAACGTGTGGCGATGACGTTGTCCGATTGTCATGACCCGCGCCCCGGCGCACAGTGCTTCGAGTCAATTAGAGAGGTCGGACCAGTGTTCGAAACTCACCTTAGAGTTTCAGGAGCCCACCCAGCTCGATTTTTAGGGGCAATTGAATATTTTTTAGGGGCCAAATTGACTTTTTGCCTATATGTCGGCGCATTTAGTGGGAAGTTAAAATCCGGTGCCGTGCGTTGGAATTTCAAAAAATTAATAAACAGAAAAATTAGGATTCTTATATAAGGGGGTGGAACAATTTCTAGGGGCCACATTGGCGCAGAGACTTCCTTTTTTAGGCGCATTCTGCGCGTTGGCGCCTGTGAGTTTCGAACACTGGGTCGGACATAAAATTTTTAACTGAGACTCCAAATTTTATTGTTTATTTCGTCACACTACCTAAAAAAAACACAAAATAATAGGAAAATAAGGCTGAAAACAGTGACATGAAAAAACTTGGGACGTTTCGGGATGGTCCCAACCCCCTCCTCGACCAGGAAAAAAAAATAAAATTAAAAAGTATAAATTATAAAAATCATTTTTTTTTCTTGTTTATACCGCAAATGAAGGTTTAGGGGCCTCTTTATTTATATAATTTATTTTTTAATTTATTTTTTTTTCCTGGTCGAGGAGGGGGTTGAGACCACCCCGAAACGTCCCGGGTTTTTTCAAGTCTCTCTTTTTAGCCTGTTTACCCATTGTTTTGTGTTTTTTCTGGTTAAATTATTCGGGCTATCTTTGTGCACTATCTTCGTCACATTTTAAACTCTAAGGGGTGTTTCTGGAAGCAAATCTCACGAGGAAACCGATGAAACCACTTTCGGGACCTCAAAGCTTTGTATGAACGGAGTTATAAGCGTTTAAAGTTTCCGAATTTGTTCCGACCTCTCCTATTGACTGATCCACTGTGCGGCATGGCCGTCGTCGCACGTCGCCCACTCCTTCACCTTTCACACTAGCTCCCATGTCTGCCGTCTGGCTGCGGGCTTGGCACGCCTCCAGGCGAAAAGAATAGGCAAACCGCAACGCAGCCGTGGTTAAACCCCGAAACCACGCTCTCGAGGTGAATCTTCTGTGACTAGGTTCGTATGCCGACACTATTTCGATGCATGATTAATTATCGCCGGTCCTCTGACGTGAGGGCGTGCCTCTATTTTCTCATCAGCTCCGGAAAGCATGGGGTCATTCGGAGAACAAGGCTCATGTAGGGGTGGAGATACGCCCTTGCGTCGGAGGAGCATCGTTGTGAGTTTCATTCCGGCTGCTTTTAAAAAAATCGGATCGACAGGAAGTAGATCCATGTTTTACAAGTATCTGTTGAAGTATATATTGAAGTTAATTACCTCAAAAATAAAATCAGACTTAAAAATGAGGTCGTAAAGAATCTCATCGATCGATTTCGAGTCGGGAAATCATTTGCCATATTTTTTTCCCTTCTCTTTTTGGTTAGGAAACTTCAAAATTTAATAGTATGTTTTTGAGATATGGATTCAGTGTCTATTTTTCCTACACTGGTCAATTGAAAAAGATTCCTATGAAATGAATAATAAACAAATCATAACTTGGAGTGTTCACTCATGAAAGTCGCCGGCAGATGCATCGCCGGCAATTTGCAAGCTCGAGGCGCCTTCAATTCCCGCGATACTCCACGCATTGCCACAAAGTTAGTTTAGTTGCCTATCCGGCCAAACCCAACTAAGGTTAATGATTCCACTACTACACGGGTATGCAAATGCCACTTTCTAGCATGCATGTACAGAGGAAAAAAAAGTTCTATTTCAATTCAAGTCAAAATAACTTTTCGCTCATTCAGTTTTGAATTTTACGGTGTCCTGTTTGTAACTCAGGGCTTGCAGATTTCCGGCGATTGCCAATTGTCTACGAGATATCGATGGTGAAACTCCAAAACATGCAATATTGCAGACTCCTTGTCATACTTTATTTATTCAATGGAAAAACCCTCGACGCAAATTCTGAAAAATTTCCACAAGAAACTTCTCTGAGAAAGAAAATTCCGTGAAAGGTTCAAGGATCTATGTTGATTTGACCTCCTTGAAAAAAATAAAATTAAAGCCGAGATTCTAAAACACCGCAAACGCAATTGGTAGTTTAGAAGTCTCACCGTTGATATACACAACGGTTACTAGTCATTTCTGCATTTAACTTAACTTCGAAGTTTCTAAGTTACCGCGCAAACTTTAATTTTAGAGGAAAAACAAACTAGCAGTTGGCTCAGCATTTTCAAAAATAAACAGAAACTCACTAATAAAAACTAGTCACCGATAATTCGGGTGGACTTCGTAAATACATTATCGCAAGGGCTAAAATTAACGCTTGATAATAATTTTCAAGATATTTTTGTTTTCAGAGACCCCGAAACCAAGTCAGCACTGCCCCCGGCAAAACGGGTACTTCGCCCACGAGGACGGTCATATCTGTGATAAATTCTATTACTGTGTTGACGGCAAATACAACGCTATCACCTGTCCCGCTGGTCTTGTCTACAACGAAAACACTGGAATTTGCACGTGGCCAGATGAAGCTAAGAAAAAGCATTGCTCATCTCAAGGTATGCCCCGCGAGTTTTTCTTTCTCCTTCACAGTCAACATGTCTGTGATCGCAAATGCCTCACATTCTTCACGGACGACACAATGGCACACACTCGCAGCCTCTTTATTCCTCCAAAATTGGGGCTGTCGCACAATACTGCCATGCTAAGGAATATCGCCACAAGAGCCTTCAGACCTTGCCATATTTCCTTCAATAAGAAACAAATTCACCGGGAAAACTCTCCATATTCTTTTCCCAATTTTTCTGACGATTTTGTTCACAATTTAATCTAAAACGTTTGAAAATTTTAAAGAAAAACACCCTGTTCATCGATTTTTTCCATAGGTTCAAATGGCAGATCAATCAATATATCGCAAAGCTTGCCACGCCACTGTTCGTGAGGGAAACGACAGATTTTAGTATTGTGTTTCCCGCGAAATTTGTTCTCTAAGGGAACAGTTGAACTGTTGTGCGAGACAGAAGCTTGTGAGTTGCGACTAAACCGACTAATGGGAAACATACAATTTGGCGGCAGTCTTGGAAAGCTATCGATCCTAAACTCGTGCCAAGATTCTCTTGTTCGTTAGTACAGCCACGCTGCATTTCCTCTGCCGTTTACCTAAGGGAGGCAATTAAGCATTACGTAACGCATATTCAGGAGAAGGTGTGAGTCTCCGTCACGGTACGTTAGGAAGAAGTAGGGGGTGAGAAGCGTGGTGATGGTCCAAATTTAAAGATTGCGCAATTTTTGGAAACGTAATATTCATACCACGTCGCTTCTGAAATCTAAAAAAAACATAATTAAAAACCTGGTGAGTTCTAGTAGGTGTTACCAAGGTCGCACATGAGGTTCCTGACAGTAAAAAAATCCTGAGTGCTGGAAGTCTTATCTACTTTATTATTGAATAAGTTTGAATGAATTTTATTCATATACACTTTTCCTAAAAAATGTACGAAAACTTTTTTTCTTTAGTCACTAGATTTCTTGAACAATAAAAACAGTTGCACAATCTAATAACAACACCTGGAAAATGTACACCTTTTTGGGAAAATTTGTACAAAATTTTCCTCCAATGTTTCAGATAAACCGAAGTAGTAGCCACGGCTGGTTCCGGTCTCTTAGAAAATAGATGTTTCAGATAATTTTGTTCGCAATTTCACCTGAAGTTTCTGAAACTTTCAAGGAAAAATATTCATAGCTTTCCTCAACAATAAACATTTTTGAGGAGGAATTTCGGCAACTCTCGAATGTTCATACGGCATTCTTCCTTAGCACGGCAGTAATAATGCATGTTCCGGGGCTCTTTTTCCGAATGACCCGGATCAATGGCTAGGCGTGAATGATCGATAATCGATATTTTCCCATTTGAAGCGGTGGTAGAGAATCGATTATTAAGGTGTTCGTTGCGAACACCCTGTCAATCGATCCTTTCCCATAGGTTTAAATGGCAGATCAATCGATATATCGCAGAGCGCACCACGCCACTGACCTGGATTGAGCCGTTCCAGGCGGATTCTGCGGAAGAAAATCCAGTTCGAGAATGCGCTGCGCCTGGTGAAATTGGCTCGAAGCCAACGACAACGGAATTGGGGAACGACGATTGGAGAGGGGACAAGGGAAAGGGACCTCTTACATAAAAGCAAAGTGCGTCATGTCTGGATATAATCTGTTCAGATTAATGTATTCCTCTTTACTTGCACCATCTTCTACGCCTCCCTGTTGCCACGTCCAGGATCCTCTGAAACTATGCTCACGTTACGGCAGAGACACAGGAACGTAACGTAACATAACAATACTGCCGCGATAAGCTGCCGAGCTAAGGAGAAACGCCGTATGAACCTTCAGGCGTTGCCAAATTTCCTTTGATAAAACACGAATTTCCAGGTAAACTTATGAATATTTTCCCTCAAATTTTTCAGATAATTTTATTAGCAATTTCACCTAAATTCCCTGGAAATTTCAAGGAAAAATATTCATAACGCTCCTCAAAAATAAACATTTTTTGAGGGAAATTTGGCAACTCTCGAATGTTTATACGGCGTTCTGCCTTAGCACGGCAGTAAGGAAAAACGTCGTGTGAAAATTCGGATGTTGCCAAATTTCCTTTGATAAAATACTAATTTACAAGGAAAGTTGTGAGTACATTTCTTCCAATTTTGACGACAATATCGTTCGCACTTTGAACCAAAGTATCTGACAATATGGAGGAAAAATGCTCGTAACTTCCTTCCAAGATAATCATTTTCTCTGAGGAAATTTGGCAACTCTCGAATGTACACACGGCGTTTTTCCGTGGCACGGCAGAATACGTCATAAATTGAAGAGTGTAAATTCCATAGGAAGAACAAGGGGGAGGCGTAATGGGCGTACACAACTCCCCCCCCCCCTCCTGGCCACCCGAAGAAAGGTGGAGGAAAAAGAGAAGGAAGTATTAGTAGTAATATAAGTTTATTTTAAAGCGGTGCTTTAGCATCTAAGGCCATTTACACCTCTGTGTGTTTACATAGAAATCAAGGTTACATCAGTAAAAATACAAAAGGGTTGAAGGGAAAGGTTAAATTTTGAGTTTAGGGGAGCGAATAAATTCAAAAAGTTTTACAGGATGAGTATTCAGAAGTAAATTTTTAAGAGAGGGTAAGGGGCAGGAAAAAAAACGTTTTCGGATTTCTTTATAAAGTGGGCAACTTATAAAGAGAAGGAAGAAGGAAGGAGAGAACATAGGAAAGAAAAAGGAAAGACGTTTACATCTAGCAATTATTCATGATGATATTGTCTCAAACTGCATATTAGATGCTTCAATAATTCCAAAATTGTCTGAAGGAGGCTCCGGGGATCCCCCCCCCCTCTCCATTTGAGGTGTCTGGATCCGCCTTTGGGAAATTCAAAATCTGGTAAGTGCCATCAGGTTTTGCCAGGCACGGAAAAAAAGGAGTCAGGGGTTGTTGGATGAAATGGTCATTTTCAATTATTTGTGATCGTAAAAACCCAATAAATTATAGGAAATTATAGAATAAAAGGAAGAACGCTTACATCTGGCAATTATTCACGACGATATTGTCTCAAACTGCATATTAGATGCTTCAATAATTCCAAAATTTTCTGGGAGAGGCTCCCGGACGCCCACCCTCCCCTTCCCATTTAAGGTGTCTGCGTGAAGTTACCACTTGGCAAACAGTGGTTGACGGTAATAGTCAATTTTCATACGTTAATGCGCCTTCAATTACATTGGATACTGTGCAATACTTTCGTGGTGGAATAGTTGCATTGGCACCTACGAACCTAACAGGGATATTTCACTCATTGCGCAATGCATGCAGTATCCCTGTTAGGTTTGTAGGCGCCAATGCAACTATTCCACCACGAAAGTATTGCACGGTATCAAATGTACTTGAAGGCGCACTAACGTGGGAAATTTGACTGTTACCGTTTCAGACAGTATACCGTTTTGATTTTCATTCTCATGTCTGACCACCCGGCTAGGCGAAACAGCCTATGTACACGGATAAAAAAGTGTCAGGGGTTATCCCCCAAAATTGTTCTACTACCCAAATTTTTTGGATAATATGGACATTTCCAATTATTTTGGTAGCACCGCAACTCAAGTTGGGGTAGTACCGAAACATTTTGGGTTAGTAACCTAATTTATCGGGATAATACCACAATTAATTGGGATATTACCACAATTAATCAGGGTATCACCACAATTAATTGGGAATGTCAATATCATCCAACAGTTGGGACTTAACCTTTACCTCTTTTTTTTCCGTGCGTGACACTAATGTCTCTTAACAGAGAAAAATGGTCACAGAGATCATTCATCGTCAGAGGTGGATTCATCATGGCACCACGTTGGCAGACTTTGTAATAGCTTCAGGCTAATCTTCCTCCACTCTGCATACTAAGTTTGGACAAATTTACCTCTGAAGATCGATGCCTAAAATTGGGACAAGACTGGAACAGGTGTTCTCGTATCGATCACTTCCGGTGCTGTAACAACAGCACAATGCACGTGTAGCATTTATCTTAGCGCAATGAATATAGACAAATAATGGGAAGTGGTTTATTTTGTGTTTAGCCAACTTTTTAAATCATTCAACATTCTATTGGTAGTACCCGCAATTACTAGACTTACCAGAATTTACCCGAGCAATAGACCGGGACTGTTCCGATCGACATAATTCGATCGAAAAATTAAAGTGAATCTGCATTTCTATTATTTCTCTCGGTTCACATTTATGTGCTTTGATTCTTGTTGATCCCTTTCTCTTTTCATTTTCTCCTTCGTCGTCTATTTAATCTTCACTTCCTCTTTCACTTCTTTCTTTTATCATTACTTTTATTATTATTCTTCTAATCTTCTTCTTTTTTATTCTTCCAACTTCCTGTTTTTTTTTCCAGTGCGTGTAGTAAAGCAATTTTTTTAATAAATTCTGATTAGACATGGAACTGCACGATGATGCCACAATTTCACTTCCATCTCATTTCTCCGTTCTCTTTTCTTCTCTCTCTTTCTCTTCCTCTCATCTTCTTTTTCCTGATTTCTGCTTTCTTTTTCTACTTTTACTTTCTCCTCTCTTCATTTTCTCTATATTTCCTTCCTCTCTTATATTTTTTCTAAACCTCCTTCCTCTGCCTTTTTTTCCTTCTGATTTTGCTCTTCTCTACATCTTTTTCTTCCTTCCTTCTTTTTTCTCCTTCTTTCTCTTTCTCTTTTTTCTTTCCTCTTTTTCCCTTTCCTCCACATCCTCTCATTTGTTCTCTTTCTTCTTTCTTATTGTTATCAGTCTAGATAAATTATCTCTTTTAATAAAAACATCTTCAAATCATTTTTCCTTATTCTTCCCCTGCGCAGAGGTGTTCCAGTTTTCTTGCCCGAATGTGAGCACAACGGAAGCGCAGCAGCACCCTCGATACGCTGATCCTCAAGACTGTCAATACTTCTACGTCTGCATCAATGGTGAAATCCCCAGGAGAAACGGCTGCAAGATGGGTCAAGTTTTCAACGATGCCTCCAAAGCTTGCGACTGGCCAAGAAATGTACCCGAATGGTGAGCTCCAACCTTTCCTCCATCTTTAAAATGTTTTTTTTTTTTTTTATATGAATGAAATTTTAAAGTTTTGCGCATACTCACTAGCATCAATTTTGATTGTAACGAGACACGCGTTTCGCGGAGCCGTTACCTCTCCATCCTCAGTCGTTCGCCAACTCAATGATGTTAAACTCGCAAGATTGACTCCTATGATTTTTTAAAATTAATTATTTTAAAATGTTAGCGAAAAGTATATATTAACGTGGAAAAATCCTTTTATATTATGAGTTTAAAAATGACAATGCATTATTACTTTCTAACTAAAATGTAAAAAGGTCTCAAAAATGTACATGCATTATAAATTTACTAAAAACTGAATGTAAAAATTGAATTACGATTTGTTTGATCAGTTATCATTACATTCTATTTATTTAATTGATATCAAAGTAAAAGATTTGTTGATCATTTTTAATTAAATTTTATTTTAGTTTGAAAAGTGCATTACGGCGCATAAACGTTTAAATTGCGTTACGTAAAATTTCGACAGGGAAAAATATTTTGAAATTCTGAATTTCGTGACCTACCTATGTTCCATTTTTAAATGGCGATTGAGTAAAATACTATGTCTTTTTTCAGTGTGGATTGGTACAAAGGGGTACTAACCGACGAAGAATTAGAGGCTCTTGAGCATCCAAAGCCGAAACCAAGGCCAACCGGTGGTACTCCAACCCGAGGAAAAACCAAGGGAAAGAGCAGCAGACCAGCCGCAGTAGAAGATCTCCCCGTTGAACCAGATGTACTGATATTTGCAAGAAATTCTAGACCATCAGAAAACTGATTTGACATTGCATAGAAAACGCTCTGTACTTTATTACTCGTTGTTCCTGTTTCAACTAGATACAATAGTTTTAAGTGTAGCCATTTCAAAGAGGAAAATAAGTTACACCTTTGTTACTCATAAATAATTTGCTCAAGAATTAATATTTTTCCACGGCTCAGATTTACAGCTCTTGGCTCTTAAATCGCCGCTCCTCTGACGTAAGGGCGTATCTTGATTACCGCATGAGCCCTAGAAAGCATCTAGTTGTATGTCAAGCAGGGCTCACGCGGAAATCCAGCATTGGCGGATCCAACAAATCGGCAACACTGTTTTATCTCGATTTAAACCTATGGAAATGTATCGATTCTTGAAGGGACCAGGTGCTCCGACAAAAATCGATGATTTAACATGGGTTTAAATGGAGAAAATCCTGTGTTGCCAAATTGCTAGATTCGCCCCTGAAATCCAGATACGCCCTTACGTCAGAGGAGCGACGAAATGTCTCAGAATTCTCAAATTCTTTTTTTTTTTTAAAAAAAAACTATGCACTAATTTGCATGATGTCGGCTGTAAAAAAAATTTGCATCCAATAATTTTTGTACATCACAAGAGGATTCAACTTAAATTGCATTTTAGAACTGCTGAAGTTTCGATGATTTGTTTCTTTGATACTTTCTGTGTGTAACAGCATACAAGCGCTGCTTTTACAATAAAAAAGACTGTGATACCATGTCCTCTTTCTGCAATTCCCCTAGAAATTCATCATTTGCCCTGCATTTGTGGAGTACCATGGCAATGAAATATCCTCATATTTTGAAAGAAACATTGTATGGGCTCAAATACATTGAATAGGCTTGTGGCAGGAACCAATAAGAAATGAGCGAGATACGCACAGCTCCCACACTGGATGGTGATTGGCTTGCGTCTTGCACTCAGCCCTAATTGGCTGCCCCCGCAATCTCAAGAGCTCTGTCTTACATTGGCTGTGTTTTAACTGCTAAGCTCCTTTCTGTAAATTACATGTGTTTAAAAATGATCTGAGACTCATCATTTCACAGTGCAAATAACCAAAAGTTCCTAAATAAAAATCGCCATTAAAAACTTTCCTTCACTGCTCCAGTGTGACACTGCAAGATGTAGATTTATAGTGACTGAAGCTCATGTTTTAAGTGTTCGAACACTCCATTGATAATTGCTGGTGACACCAACCATCAAACTTCATTTGCTATACGCAGGTCGCTGAAAAGCCCAGCTTGTCCATTATCAGATTATCTGACTGCATTTATTCCTCATTTTTCCCTCTCTTTTTCCTCGTTTTATTCCGAATTCAGAATCACGCAGGAGCCAAACTTGCCTTATGACAGTGAAACAAGAAAAATACAATCGCTCAAGCAACTGTTCCTAGATTTATAAAATCATAGAACCGAGAAAAATTGAAACATTAATTAATAATAAATATCACGAGTAAATAACACTGATCAACATGGATTAACTTGCCAAAAAGTTAGGTAGTACACGTGGGATGATTTTTACAGCTGATTCTCTCTGTAAATTACCTCGAATTCGCTTGAATAGTTTGGTTTTCTCGAGAGAATTGAAATTTCCTTAAAAACGGGTCTTTTCCGAGAACACTTGGACCGCGTTCAGCAGAAAGGAACCAAGCCACATCCACTATTGCCAAATTTAACTGGGCAATTTAATTTTTTACAATAGAACGTTTGTGCGGATATTTTTGAAAATGTCAAGGAATTTGCTTCGCACTATATAGAAAATTCATTGAGATCTGTACCAAAATCCGCACAACCCTTTGCATGTAAAAAATTAAATTTGGCAATAGCTGATGTGGCTTGGTTCCTTTCTGCTTAACGCGGTCCAATTTAGAGTACCTATATTGAGAGAGTATGGCCATTGGTGTTACCACCTCTGATTGGCTCAGTCATCTTAGGCTGAATGGAGCCCTTAGGACCCAAAAATGCCGGACGCCATAAATTAATGTAATGCAAAATAACTCAAAATGTAGTTTTCTTTGCTTATTGTAACGAAAAATTTACTCAAATGCACAATTGCGACTTCTTTACATATTTTTAAGGCTAATCGTGTGCAATTTTTGAGAAAAATTATCTTTGATGTAGTAAGGTTGGCAGCAAGTGCGGTTGGTGGTAAACGTCAAAAGTTGGCAATGACCCCCCTCTCATCCACAAAAACCAAAACAAAGCACCTCCATTTTTGGGTCCTAAGCCTCTCCATGGGGCCCAGTGGCCATACTCTCTCAATATAGGTACTCTAGTCCAATTCCACTTTACGGAAGACCGATTCATAGCGGGGAGAAAGGGCATCGATTTTGACGATTCACCACCGAAGAGTACGTTGCTATGCACCGGTGGTATGCATAAACAATTTCCAAGCTCTCTTTCATACCGGGGGTCTCTATAAACATAATCCGCGATTTACCTTGGCTATTTTTCATAGAGTACATAGAGTCGTAATGTAAGTGGGAGAGCTGGCGCCATGTTCCGCTCGACGACTTCCGAGCCCGGTGTGCGGGGTCACTTTTTCGATACATATTCGATCCAAAATGGCGGTGTGGAATATGACCGGGTCCCCGTGTATCATGAACAATTGAACAATCGATTATGTATCGAAAAAGGGACCCGGCGCCGCACAGAAATCTCGGAATTCGGGACCTGGGAAATGCTTAAGAGTGGCACCAGCTCTCCCATTTGCATTACAACTCTATGTATTCTATGCTATTTTTATGGGAGTTGCGGTTGTCTTGCATGATATGCGATGTGCATCCAAAAACTCATGATCCCTGGCTTTCGTTGATCTCGCGGGACGCTAAGGCTTATGAGTTTTCGGGCTTAGGCCAGTCTGACAGAGACCGATTCGATTATTGTCCTGGGGTAAATGGGGGGAGGGGGGGAGGACACAAATGCCTTTTTTCAACTTCTACGTTTTGGAACGGAAGTAAACGGAGTAACAGAAATAGAGGAAAAGTTTAAAATTAAAATAATCTCAAAAGCTGCCGGTTGTTTGCTAAGATTTTACAACCATGTTTTTCACTGAACGAATATGATCCAAGGAATGACGGTTGCTCCTAATAAATAAATGAAAATTGACCAATTGTACTCGAAACAACCCATCCATGCGCAACATTTTTGCATAGTATTTTCATTAGAACCGCGAGTCCTTGGATGTTTTTCATTTCATTTTGTACGTGCCTGTACAATCATGCCTTGGAGCCAAAAAATATCATCAGTTTTGCATGAAATTTGAATTTTACTTGACTGGAGGCACCCCTTTCCCCTCCTTCAATACGTTGGATGCTTTTTATAGGATCTGAAACTTCTACGAAAGTATAAACAGAGACATTTTTAAAAGTGTCTTGACGGAAACTTTATTGAATAGCATAATTGATCGCATTCAATTCAGGGATTCTAAGCAAGCTAATTGTTCTCAAGACGTTGTTGAAATCCTCTCTTTTCTAATAACATCATTTTGTAAGGCGCTCGATGGTCGGGGTGAGGAAGGGGAGTAAGAAGAGGAAGAAGCGACCTGCAAAGGCGGGGAGCACAGCGCCCCGGGGGTTGGACCGCGTAGAGGCCAGATGGCAGAGCCCCCTAGTATGCATTAAGATTAGTAATTTAAAACAAAATTATGGAGAAAGCATATTAGTATTAAAGATCTAGGTTTAACCTAATTTAAAAGTATGGTATCAGCTGTTTCTTGAAAAAAAGCACCTTGCTGCTGTGACAGTGTTGTCGATCGCCTTTATTTTTCGATTCTCTTCAAATATGCGGCACGCATAGATCGACACATGATCTTCTTGGGTGAAAATAATATTCTTGAGATTATAACCATTGCTCGAAATATGATAAATCAATGAACAGAACAAAATTTAAAAAAAAAGAGAAATATGTACTTTGATCTTTAATAAATGCACTGGATTTATTCAGATCGTGTTATTTTGACGTTTATTTATTTAAGTGTAGATTCTACTGGAAACTATACCTATTTCAAAGATTACGGGATCCAGCGAGAACCATTTCGGTCTCATAATGAAGCGCGGCCCATCCCTATCTAATACTCTAACCAACCATTTTTAATCCACGACTTTTGTCGTTGACATGACAACGCCGTCGGATCCGTCTTCCTCTACCGTTGCAAGGTTAGAAATATTTTTTCAAGGACGATAATAGTGTCTGCAATTGTCTCTCTGCCTCTTTGAAACCTCCAAAAATCCTATTTACATTTTCCCGATTGAAAATTGCGATCTACTAGTGTCGGCGTCCTCAGTATGGAATCCCGCGGCGAATTTTACTCGGTTCCCCACGTGTGAGACTGAACTTTTTCACTCTCGATTTCGAAATTTACGAGCGGACCTTCCAGTTTCGGCGTCATCATACGCGCACGACCCCACCTCCCCTCCCCACCGCGAATTTTTACAGGTTAGTTCGGACATCCTTTTCGTAACAGAACCCCGGAAGCAGCGCACGAAATAAAATCTCGCGGTTGTGTAACTTGCGACTTCCGAAATCCAATCCTTGGTTTTTTTTCCTCCCGCGCCTGCGAGTCCGAGCCCCACTGACCCACTGACACTTTCGGAAGCGGCCCTGGTGTGAAGACCGACTCTTCGAAATGGAGCATTGTAATCACAAGTGTATGGTGGAGACATCATGTTGCGGCCTCTCACTGCGAACCGGCTCTCTCCTCACGGGTGTGTATCTCCTGCTGACGGGGATTGCTGCGATAGCAACCACCTTCGCTGTAAAAACCCTCGATGACCCACACAAGTACTTCCTCTACGTCATCGGTGTGCTCTCGCTCATAGGGGCGGTCACCCTCCTCTTTGGCTCATTCAAGTGCAGTCGACCCTGCATCAAAGTCGGCCGCGCCATATTGTTCATCCTCACTGCAATTGCAGCAATCCTCCTGTTCCTGGCCCTGCTCACTCTTATACTCAACCTTTTTACCAAAGTCCCTTTCTTGATCTCCATTCAGAAATTCCTCAACTGGGATATGGCTGCTGCAGGTAAAGATGCAAGTAAGGATGCAGCGGCCGCGGCACCTATTGGCAAGTCTTTGGGAATCTTAATTGGGTACCTCATTGATTTCCTGCTTAGTATGTACTTGTTCGCTGTCGTTAACAGTTTCTACCATAGTCTTTGTCAAAATTGTGCCTGAATGTTTACGCATTAGTCCATTTCGTTTTGGGTCCATTCGTCCAAATTATCATGCTTCCAGTTGACAATCAATGATACTAGAATTTTAAAATTTTCTGCAAGTGAAATTTTGTACGTTAAAAAAGTGATGTTAATAAAATCGATTTTCACATGGATTTTGATGATTTGCTCGTTAAAAAAAGTAAGCACTTGAAATTATCTAGTCGGAGAAAATATCTGTTAAATCAAAGATAAGTTAGGTCGAAGGGATCAAATTTGAAAATTCAAGCACCCGTAAAATATTTTAAGAAAATAAGAAAGTTTGCCTCTCGGCGAAACCGTGAGAGGTTTTGAGGAATTAATTTTTTTTAACTTCTTCGTTTAACTTTTAAATGAATTTTGTTCTAGCTATTGAAAAGAGAATCGATCGAGGTATCACGGTCCCCACACGAAATTTTAAATCTGCCTTTTTAATTCTTGCAATCGATTGTTGACACTTGATATCTTCTTAGTTTCTCAATTGGAGCTAAATCTAAAAAATCGAAGTTTTTATTTAAAGGTATATCCAAAAACCATAATCCAGTAAATCTACGCCAAGAAATCTGCTCGTAATTTCACGTCTACATAGTCTTAAAAGAGCTAGAGTTAGTTTCATTGAAAGTACCATTTTTGTTTTTATTTGACAAAAATTCTATCGAATTTTTGATCGAGTCATCAATGATTCTAGAATGTGTTATCGAAGGTTAGGAATATGTACTGATTTTTTTTTCAAAGAAGATAAATTAATACAATTTTCCAATGCTGATCCAAAAATTCATTGGAGGAGTGGTGCTTCTCTAGCATATGTCGATGGCTAAACTTCGAGACCGCATATCTCCGTTTGCGACGAGTGGTGTAGATGGTTGGGGGGGGGGACCTTAAAGAAGTCCTAGCTACGCCACTGCTTTGCGACGTTGTAGACTTTGTCATATTTTATTTATTCGATGGAAAACTAGTCAGCGTATTTTTTTTTTTTAAAACTTCCTTAATTTTTCTCTTCTGTTAGTAGAATATTTTGTGCAATTTCCAAACTATAAACTTAACTTCGACGCTGTGAGTCGGCAATTTCATAACTCAGTTTCCGACGTCGCAGACCTCCCGCCATACTTTATTTTTTGAACGGAAAACTACTCGGCGGCAATTCCTTAAAACTGACATGATTTTTCTTCTCTGTGCGAAGAGAATTCTGCAAAAATTTCAAGGAATGGTATCAATTTTTTCTCTATCACAAAAAAAGAACATAGAGGATTTTCAGACACCGCATACGAGATATGTGATTGCGGACTTACGCCGTCGACTTGTCTTTTTTTGAAAAAAATAACTAGGAGTGGAGATTTTGAAAGACCGCATTGGAAATACGTGGTGTCGAACTTTAGCCATCGATGTACCAGAAAAATCACCATTTCCGAAGATTCTAGTTTTAATCCAAGCATTATTCAGAAAGAATTTTTGGTCCACTACAAATATCTCTCCCAAGCGTTTGAGCCTCTAACTTTTCATTGCGTGCTCAAGAGCGTGCAGTAGAGTCTCCTCTCGGATATTTGAAGGGGTCTATTAGACGCCGTGGTTGAAGGCAATGTGCCTCGTCGTCTCTTTCAAGGCGCTATAACCACCCGCTTAACTTTCGTTCCAAGATAATGAATGTTGTGTACACCGCTATTGTCTCTCGCACAATGGAGCTGACACTTAACTCATTTTCAATGACGCGCCCCTCGAACTCATCTCCTGGAGTGTCATGAAATTTTCTCTGCAGTCACTCTCAGAGAGCTTCGTCTGTAACTAGGAGAGAATTAATCGAGGTAAATGCTACAATTTCTCGCCAAAACCGAGAGAAATTAGTTTAGGTTTAAGGTTCGATTAATTGAATCTCAACAAAGTTTTACAGTGAAAGCTCGCTAAGTCGAATCGTGTTAGAACCGAAAAAATTCGACCTAGGCGGTGATTTGTTTTAACCAATTTTCCACTTAACGTACAGACGTGTCAAGGGACCAAAAAAAAATTTCTACTTTGACGGCATTTCGTCTTAAAACCGTAGTTCGACTTAGCGAACTTTTACTGTAAATGTTTTATTTTTCTTCTTCATCGACGAGAAAGCTCGCAACTTAAAAAATTGAAGAAACTTCGAAGCTGACTAGAATCATTACTCAGTCAAGTCGAGGAGTGTTTGGCCCAATCCCGATTTTAATCGTTGATAGAGTTCTTTCAGAACTTCCAGGAAGTGAGTGATTAATTTTTTCTCAAATAACCTCTAGAGCCCTCACAAAAATTACCAGTCCTTTGCTAGGCTTTACTACTTTCTCAACAAGCTTTGATGATAAAAATTTCATCTAAAAGTTTAAAGTTTCCAAATTTGGTACCTACTTAGCGACCAACTCTTTTAAACACCTTAAATGAGGCATCAATCTACGGTATTGTATTTGAGCGGAGTATGGCTGCACTGAAAAACAAACTCTGGCCGTGGAAGCCGTACTTACGGGCTATATGTACATACCGTACGCGTTCCGGGCTCAGAGGTCAAAAGTTCCGGGCGTAGCATCCGGAGCAATCGGAGTTACGGCTCTAGCAGTCGGAACTTTCGGCCTCCCAGCCTGGAACGGACGGTATGTCTTTATAGCCCGTAATTTTGTTTTCGGTGTGCTAACCTTTAACTTTCGAAACTTTGAAATATCAGGTGGAATTTTGACTTGCAAACGTTTCAAAGATCAAAAAAAGGGATTTTACACAGATTTTGAATTTTTTGGAAAAACAACTTATGCTAACTTCTGGGGGGTACAGAATTAAGACTTCATATCTCTTCAGAACTGATAAGTTTCGGTAACCTTGTTGCACAAGGAATCGATGTACTAATGAAGTTTCTTAATAGATTGAGCAGGAACACTTAATCTTGGGTATTCAATATCAACTAAATCATCGGTATTTTTCATTTTTTCCTGGCCCTAGTGACACATTGGCCAAATAAATTTCAAAGGAATACTTTTATTCTCAGGTTAATTGCTAATGAAGAAAGAGGACTTTCGGTCATGTCATTATTCAACGGAAAGAACCAGGTATATGAAACTTCGTAGTGTAGTAATTGGATTCTTCGGGGATATTTCCTGAAACGAACAGGTCAATTTAATACTGTGGCGACAGTATTTTGTGTTTAAATTGGAATACTACCATGGTTAGATTGTAACAAAAAATTCAGAAATTTTCAAGCTTTATATGCTAAAAACTGGTCCATGAAAATCCAAAGGGACTCTGAAAATTCTCTCTATCCTTAGAACTTAATCATGGAATATTCAATAAATATTTTTACAAAATGATTTGAGCGATTCACGTAGAACATTTTTTACATTATAAACCTAATTATGAAATAGTATATTTTATAAAAATTATTTAGTCAACATTGACTGACAAACTTTAATGTAATACTCCAATCATCATAGAAATAAAAAAATTAATCATCAGTCGCATGATGACTTAAAGGCAAAACGCGCATCAGTATTTTTTTCTTTTTTTTTAAGCAATTAGTTTTAGCTTTTGCTACATTTATTTCATTTCATTTATAATACACGAATTATAATGCCTATCTTACAAGTGAATGCTCCCACGTAAAATTATCCGCATAATATCCCACGAAAAATAAGACTGGAAAAATGTCTTTGCAAAATCTATCAGGAAAACAAGACGGATCTCCATACTAAATTTTTATGCGAACCATATATGGTTCCCATCCCGACGGACGGATACGCGTCCCAATTTCCATGCAGCTTTGGTAAATGGTTTCAATTCAAATTAGGACCCATAGACCGTATTCGATAACGGTTCGATGTATCGTTTGGTTCAAAACAACAGAACATAACCTTAAACCAAACTTAAAGGATTTAAGTTGGAAAAGCTGAAAATGAGAAATTTCCTGACAATTTCACTTTGCATTGGCATTTGGTACTCAAAAGAATAAAAAAATCTATTACAAAAGATCCGTTCTCTCAGATTTCTGAATTTACTTTTGAGGCTATGTTTATGTTTTGAACCAATCGATATCGATACAGTCTCACTCGTTTGATGTATCGAATACGATCTATTGAATCACCGCAAGGAAGAGACGGAGATCCAGAGGATTCAGCAAAACAACTCGCTAAGTTTAAAATACTTGAGTTGCAGAAATAGAGGCGTTTATTTCTGCAGTTTGGTAACCATGGCAAAAAAATACTGTGGGCGATGGCCTTAGGCCCCCCACGGGGATCGCGGGAGAAGCACGTGAGCTACTCGCTCACCGCGGAGGGCCCAAGACGAAGACCAAGGTGCCGGAGCATCGCCGTATCGAGGTATGTTGACCGGTGAGACAGAAAGTTATTCCGAACGCGGACCAGTAACCCAACAGCCATCAACATGTATACCGTTTTGTGCTATTTAGTGTTTCTCTCCATAGCCGCCCTCGGAGTCCTAGGTGAGTCGCCAGACGAATATTTCAGAGATTTCCCAGACATTTCATAGTTATCCAACGCGAGTTTCACTTTCACTTTCCGGCGGGTGGAAAACCTACTTACTTTGCACACGAAGAGCCGTAGGACTATGATTAGGTTACGTTTTCTTTGAATCTCATCTGAGCGGTTGCTTGCTAATTATTGATCGATATTTAACGAAAATGTGGATATTTACTGACGCTTGAAAAATCAGGAGTACATGATAACATGCATGACAGAAAGAAGAGTATGATTTAAATCGAGGAAAGTGTGTATAACACAAACAAAGTAAACAAAGTATTCAGCTGCACGCCTATAAATCCAGTTTACAAGCTACACTTGATTTTTCAGAAAATGAACATTTCACAGACATGCTTTATAAAAATAAGCAAATTTTGACTCATGTGAATCCTCTAATATGAGAGAATAAATGCAGAAGCTTCAAAAACTAAAGTAATTTAATCCGTCTATAACTCTGACAAAGATTTTGAGTGAATTTAAAAAGAAAAAATATTGGCAAAACTGTTAAGTATATGATAATAATTCTATGAAATTACCCAAATTATTGCTATACTAATGTTTGTCTTGTAAAAATGCAAAACATCGTTCATAATAAGAGAATATTAAACCTCTCACAAAACATCTGTTAACAAACATCACTGGGGACAGTATTGGACTTTTTCTTCCCTATTAAGAGTGCGATTGGGACGTCTTAGAAGTGCAAAGTGTAAATTTGCCCCCACAATGATCCGCATCAATTCATTTTCACCTTTAAACGGCTCATCCTTAATGTCACTTTTCAGTGCAGAAACCATATGTAATTAACTTTAAGTAAACTGATGTAAATAAGTACTCGTGAGTAATTTTGTGGTACATAAGTACTACGAAAGAAAAAAAACCAAATTCACCATGAGCCCTGCACTCAGAAACGTAAACTGCAACGACATAGGAATTATCTTAGACAGGGAGCATTCTTTTTAATGATTTGCATGTTTCACTTTTAATCTTGTGAATTCATAAAGGCACTAACTTCATTTTTGCTAACAAACAAATGTACTAGTACCGGATTTTCACATCACTTTTGTACACAGGTTTTGTCTCTTTTTTCTCCGTGTTTTGTGGAAAATTATTGATTCCAAAATATCTTGAATTAATCACAATTTTGCAACAGGGTGCGTCAGGTGGGGGTGCAAAACAAATCAATGTCAGACAACTTAGTTATTTCCGAATTAACTTACTCAAAATAGAAAACGGTGAAAGTTAGAACTTGACGTACTTTGAAACCCCCTCCTTGAATCAATAATGCTTAGAACGCCGCTCCAGCCCTTCACTGTAGCCTCCTCAGAATCTTATTCCCCTACCTTATTATCATTTTACTATACTTCTGAAGCTTATCAACCTTATTACTTGGAAATATTCCCCAGTACAAGTGGTATATTTATAGCGATGTCTTTCCATAAAAATCAACTAAAAATCAGCATGCAATTTCAATATGATACACATAGGGACGGAGGATGACGTCATGCGGGGAGGTGATCGATTTTTCGAACGGAATTGTACATTTGGAATTTTGCCCTGTGTGCATTTTGGAAGAGACTTGGCGTTTGCACATATCACGGATAAAAAAAGCACGAGTTTGTTGCGTGATATGGACATTTTCAATTAATTGTGGTAGTGCACGAATTAATCGTGATCGCACCCCAACAAATTAGGTCACTAACCCAAATGTTGCGGTGTTACCCTAACTTGAATTGCGGTTCTACCACAATTAATTAGAAATGTCCGTTTCATCGAAAAAATTGTGGTGGTGCCGCAGTTTTAAGGGATAACCCCTAACACTTTTTTCCGTGATCTTAATGCATGCATGCCTCATTTTAGTGTTTCACTAAAAAATACTTTTGAACGTTACGAATTCTTCACTTACAAATTGTGTGTTCACTAGGAGACTTATAGGCGTTTCTGCTTAAAAAGTTCACCTAAATTTAATGTAATTACACGTAAGAATTAAAACAATTTTGAACCGAAAATTGCACTCTCATATGTTTGTTAAAAACTGAATATTTGCGTCAATTGTGCAGCCTTGTAGCGGAGTTATGATCCTTCATCTGGGATATGATGATTTTTTACTCTCAACCGTCGAATATGAGACGCTAAACCTTTTTTTAACCAGAGGCATGATCAACCCATAATTATTATATAAGGTTCAATTCAAGCACCTACGATTGGCTCATTTAAAACTATTTTTTGTTATATAAGTTTCCATCGTCTGACACTCAAGAAAGTTAAGATGCGAAAAGATGAAGCAAAAGATAAGTTTTGACAGATAGTTTGACGTCCGCACTTTCAGTTTTCAACTTGAAACTTTTCTGAACATCGTGACGTTGAACGCTGGAAGGTAAAAATTAGGACTCGAGCTGCGCCAAGTGAAAAGTTTCTCTACGGCTTTCAAGTTCCTGTAGAAAACGTGTCAAGTGTATCGAAAATGAGCTCCAAGCTTAGAGAGATGGCGTTTGACTTGAAGAAGTATTAAAATTGCATCTCCTAGAGGACTTCATTAGACAAGCAAATAGAGTCAAAGCGCCACTTAAAATTTTCCAATTTTCTCATGACATTCTTTTAAAGGTCGCAGTAGGCACTGGAAACGCCCAGTTTTGTGAGATAGGGACGTTATTACAAACTTCAATTTATAGTTTAACAAGAGGTATGAATAAATGTACTTTTTGACTTAAATGCTGTTTTTCCTCTCCAAATGTAAAAAAGAGGCTTCAAGTATATAAATATAAAGATATTTTCCGAACCCATTAATGAATATCAGTATTGAATCTCCTTCGGGGTTTCAATCCCTAATCTTTTGGTGAGAGGATTGCATTTTTTTTTTATTATTATTTTTTTTTTTTTATTTTTTTATTTTTATTTTTTTATTTTTATTTTTTTGAAAAAAGAAAGAAAGATAAAGGAAACACAAAGAACAGAAGGACCGAAGGACACAAAAGGAAGAATCATAATTATTTTTTTAACAATACAATTTTCATTCCATTCAGACTCTTCTTAAAAATGTCTCGGCCCAAAATGAAAAATACGTGATAAATTAACACCGATTCGACAAATAGTTGGATCGTAACAAACCCAGATCTTAAAAGAGAGGGAGCCAATTTTGTTCACTGAAAAAAAAACACATTAGATTTAGAGTCCAGACCCTTGAAAAAATTGACAAGAAAAAATACTCTTAATTCAATCAGATTTTTGCTTCAATCAAAAGGAAATCCGCTCAAATTGAGAGACTTGGTTCTTGATTTAAGCAAAAATCCGATTGAATCAAGAGTATTTTTTCTTGTCGATGTTTTTAAGAGTCTGGACTCTAGATCCAATGTGTTTTATCCCCAGTGTTTTTAAAAAAAAATCAATCATTCCTCAGAACTTGGTAATATCGTTAAAACGTTCCTGTGTAAATTTAATCGTGAATTGTATTTTTACTGAAAAGCTGTTATGCTCATCCATCTGAAAACTTCACTAACTTTCCTACTCAATCCACGAAGTGATCAGCAAAATTATAGACAAAAACCGCCGTCATCACATTGTGAAAAATTGAATTGTTTGAGTCAATTCTGCAGTCATATAATGGAATTATTTGTTTGCGAGGTTGACAGGGATGAAAGTAACACCATCACCTGTCTCATTATATCATTGTGGATAAAATTAACTTCTGGAAACGGTCGTCCGAGCTGAACTTTTTAAGTCGAGCGCCTACGTTTCCTCTCTCTGGTCCTAATAGAGCGTCATAAAGACCACAGAAGAAAGCACAGAATTGAGGAAGGAAATGAAAGGAGGACAGAAACAAGTGCACCTCAGTTAATTAAAGCGACTTGATTTTTTCCCAAGATTTAGAAAGGCAGCAGTGAGCGAGAAAGAAACAGCTGCTGTTAGTTATGCTCGTAATCATCGAAAATTTCATAATCGTCGGTCAATACCCGAGTCGAAGAGTGGCACTGTTGTGCGACTGAGAGAGGAATTTGGGAGGCCAGGCGTCTGGTCCTCTCATGTCTGATCACGTACTTGTTTCGTTGCGAGAAAACGTTAAAACATTAGTGAAGATAATTTCGGCCATCCGCTTGATGCATGGATCGATTTTCAGATTCCAGACGCAAATGCTATACCTTGAAAAAATAGTTATGAAATTAAGGTAAATACAGTCTTAATCACAAAACAATCGGACAAAGTTTTCGTTTCTCCTCTTAGAACTAATTTTAATATACTAGAGAATGAATTAGCAAAAGGTGGATAGAAATTTGCAAAAGCAACTTATTTTTACTTTTCATAGGCCTCGAAAATGTTATTTTCTGACGCAATATGGGCAGAAGATGCAAAGTAGCCTCTTTTACACCATGGCAACTTTAAAAAGATCGACAATCGAACAAAATGAAAGACACTGTACATTGACTTAATAAAATCTAGTGTTTAAGTATTCTCCGCAAAAATATGAAATTCTGAAGTAAATTGACTGTACTTTGAAATGGGTTTACCATAATTTATCTTAGATATGAAAAATACAAAAAATGACAGCCATTAGAATTATATGAACTGGAAATTAATTGCATCGCAGAACAGTATTCGAGCAGTGACTTTTCCTTCCTTTTATACTTGGCGTAGTCTCTGTATCGGTCAAGACACAGGGCTGTTTGAACTAGTGACACGAAGAGTAGACGAGTGATACTAAACTGGTAATACGGGTATGATGATAAAAACGATTTTATACGGCGAACCCAGAAAAAGTTGTGGTGACAATTGCCGCTCCAGCACTAGGCGTACAAAACTGGTTATGATGAATGTACGTCCATGGTAAGTCCGTTTGATGTTCCACCGACCGATGACGGTCTAAAGTAAATTTTTCAGAATTCGTGATGGTGTAACACTAAAAATAGAGAATGGTTAGTCGTACAAAATTTCATTTTATTTCGAAAAATCTTAGTTGATGAGAGGAAATCACCAAATGACAATCCACAATGCACAATAATTTAAAGTGGTAAATTCTTGATCACGTGATCTACGAGATTTGAGTGAGCAAGAAAAATGGTAAATCTCACCCTCCTGCGCGCCTCATAGCCGATAAACGACTTCCCCATAATTTTCAATCATCAGTAATGCAAACCGCAATTGGTTGAGTTAAAAAATTTACGATATACATATACATACTTATGAGTCGCTTTTATAGCGCTCTCTGGCGCTCTGCGACGCCTGATTGCCACTAAACTCGGTCCTTCCACAATCCATCAGTTAGTTGGCACTCCCTCATCTCATTTAAAACCTTCTGTCACCATCCTTTCACCGGGCGTCCCCTTCGTCTCCTCCCAGGAGGAACTCAATCAAGAATCTATTTGGTAGCCTCTCTTCCGTCATCCTATTAACATGGCCATCCCATACAAGCTATTTGGTCAAACGACACGTCGAACACGACAAAAAACAAGAAGTTTACAATACAACAAATACACAATACGACAAATTTACAATATAACACTTATTTAACTTGGCTCCATTGGCAGGGATGCACGGGTGAAATGAAAAATATGAAATATCGAAATTTTCCGAGAAATATTTCATGAAATTTCATGAAGTTTGAAAAATATGAAAAATATAAAACATATTTTCAGGGGCAGGGTATGCAACACACACTAACAACACCAAAAAGCAAAAACCAGTAGCCTTTCCTTTAATTTTGCATTTAATTCGAACAATATTTTTCACATCATTCTGAAATTTCATAAAATATTTCACATGAAATTTCAAGATTTTACTTTTCATGAAAAATTGCAACCCTGCCTTGGCCGTGCATTGGAGTCAAAATTATGTATGAATTTAAATGTTTGGATACTTCTCTATAATTTAAAAATCTAAATTTTCGTTTATACTCCTATTTTCAAAATTATCTGTAAAGACGTTAATAGCCTGAGTCGCTGAATGTCTTAAAATAAAATTAACTAACTAACTAACTAATTTTTAATCATCAGTAATGCAATCCGCAATAGGTTGAGTTAAAAAATTTACAATATAACGCTCATTTAACTTAGCTCCCTTGGCCGTGAATCGGGAGTCAAAAACGTATTATCTGTCCACATCGGCAGCATGGGTGGTTGGACGCGAAGACACGCGACTATTAAGGCCATCAACTTTCTATAAGCGTCTGGAGTAGCGCTTGGCCCATTGGCCATTGGCATGTTCTACCGGAAGGAAATGCGTCGTGCTCTCCGCTTCTCACCGGCTAGATTGCGTCATTTCGTCTCTCCTCCGACGTACGGACGTACCTCAATTTCCACGTGAACCCTGCCATCAATACAACCCCATGCTTTCCAAGGCTCATGCGGCAATGGAGATAGGCGCACTCGCGTCAGAGGGACGACGATTTCGTCAGCAGACTCCTGCGGAGGGGGGCCATACCCATACCGGAGATCCCTCTCCGCTCTAATCCAAATTTCGCCTTTCCTGGCCTCTGAAATTTGCGTGAATTTTTAGACGTACTACAGCTGGCTAAAAAAACAATCAACGCGTGGAGCGAAGCACTCTTCCGAAACGCTGCCGCGCTAAGGAAAAACGCAGTATGATCCCGTAGACGTTGCCATATTTCTTTCAATAAAAACTTGATGCACAAGGAAAATTGAATTGCATTTTGCAATAAGGAACCATTATTTCTGGCTCCTCCGCATAAAAGCACTTTTCTGCATAGGCAAACTAATGGTACGTATGTTGTTTCTAAAACGAGCCAGAAATAGTGGTTCTTTATTGCAAAATGTGGTCCAACTGTGAATATTATTTTTTAATTTTTTCAGACGATTCTGTTCGCAATTTTATCTAAAACGTCTGAAAATTTCAAGGAAAAATACGCATGATTTTCCTTCAATATACATGTTTTATTCGGGGCGATTTGTCAACTCTCGAATGTTCATACGGCGTTTTACCTTAACACGGTAGAGCGGCTCCAGTATTTTTCTGTTACTGTCATCATATTATTTTCTTTAAGAGCACAAAGTATTTTCTTCTCGACTTTGGCCTCACGATGGAAGCATTTTGCTATCGTAATCGAACAGATCCAAACGCTTGGAGGCGAAAAATTGCCGATTAATTTGGTGGGCGGTTATAAATGCAAAGAATTGAATTCTCAGTTAAGTGAAGCGACCGCTCAAGTAGAAATGACTGACACTCACACTGAACTGAACTGTAGTTTCACTTCAATGAACCAAAAAAATTTGGTTAATATCAGTGGCGTGGCGTGCTTCGCTACACATCGATTGATCTGCCATTTAAATCTATGGAGAAGGCTCGTTAAGAAGGGTTTCCGCGACGAACCTCCTAATGATCGATTCTTTACCAAAGCCTCAAAAGGGGGAATATCGATAATCGATCTTTCATACTCGCCACGGGTCAATATGAAACATGTTCCATGCGAACCATTTTTCGGTGCGCAGAATTGAAGCGGTATATTATTTGCGTTCATGGTAAATTTCTATTATCAGTGCCCACTAAAATTGATTTTAAAAAAATACGTAAGACTTTAAAAAAGTTGATGAAACCTAGTGATGATCCTGTCCATCCGTGGAACAAGAAAATTCCCGGACAAAATATTTATAGGCTATAAAGAGACTGTGGTAAACTTATGTTTTGCGCATTTCTGTTACAGGTGCTTCAGATTTCAAATGCCCCAAGAAAAATGGAGTCTTTGAGGATTCTATCATGTGCGATAAATTCTATGACTGTGAAGATGGCGTAGCAACAGAGAAATTCTGTCCAGATGGTCTTGTTTTTGATCCCTTAAACCGAAAAATCAACAAATGCGACCAGCCCTTCAATGTAGACTGTGGTGACAGAGTAGAACTACGTAAGTTGAGAAATATTCAGCGCCTAGAAATTAATATTACTATCATTTGGGCGGTCGGGGTATTTAATATCTGTCCTTTCCTTTCCCCTACTTCCGGTAGCTGACCCTTTGGTCCTTTCAACCCCTCGAAGCGAGGATCAATATACCCGGCATGCCACTGAGGTATCTTCTCTGACCAGTGTAAATTTTCGTTGGTGGCAAAAATTTTAGTAATTCGATTGTCAGAATTCTTTTTTGTGAGCCGATGCCATAATATTACCACAATAATAGTTGTGAAAAACTTGGTATTGCATTTTTGTGTCATTTTAAGAAATGAATTGCCAAACTTTTATAAAATTCATAAATTGGTAAGAGGAAGGTTAGTTTTTGGTGGCATCTCTATACAGAGTTAGATAAATAGATTGCAGCAGATCATGCACCGATTGCACTTCGTTGCTGTAAAAAGATTCAACTGAGTTTCAGGAGTAAATTCACAAATTATTGCCTTGATATATCTGAATACATATTTTCGTTTATAAAGATAAGGCACCATTGTAACCTCATTATTATGTATCCAGTGTATGGAATAATATTAATCCGTTTCACATTCGCCACACTTGCTATTCTTATATCTTTATTGGGTTGTATGATCAATGGCCTACCTAACAATATGGATGCAGAATTTTTAAATACGAAAAATAATGAAAAAAATAACGCTCTCAACGCATATAAAAAATAAAAATAAGGTAAACATGTTCCAACAATGTCACAATAACCAGAACGTAGCGTAAAGCCCCTGGTAAAAATTGGCAGTAGAATCTGTGTTCCAAAATACCATAGACCTACGGCCGGTTGTAAGATTTCCAATAGCTTCTATAGTTGGCTACACAATTTCTTATAGCTTTTTATAGCCGAATTAAGCAACTCACAGTCAGGCGATAAAGTGTATGCCAAACGTCACTAATTACGGATGTTAGGACTTAGTGAGTTTTTGGACCACTGCTCTCTTCTTGGGCCGTTGTATCTTGATTTATTTTGCGAGGAAAGCTCCGTCCTTTTGATGGATGCCTGCCATTCCTAATATATTAGAGCGCCTTCAGTTTTGTATGATACTGTGGTATACCTCTGGTGTGAAATAGTTGCTTCAAGCGCCGTGGCAGGCTGCAGTGCGGCAGGTGGGCAGCCAGCTCAAAACGCGCACTGGCGCCTACAAACCTAACAGGGATACTTCACGCGTTGCGCAATGCGTGAAGTATCCCTGTTAGGTTTGTAGGCGCCAGTGCGTCGCCGCTCCGCTTTGTGTTAGGCTGTAATATTTAATCTGGCGTAGCCAGCGTTATTCAACTCATGATTTTGAAATGTTTGATCATCCTATATGGATTATTCTCGTTTTAATTGATGAAAAAAAATATGTATTAAAGGAAAATATAACGTGTGTTTTGTAAATATTAAGGTGGTTCCGTATCAAACTTAATGATTTCCAAAGCATACGAATTTCTACACAATTTCTTATAACCTTTCATAATCGATGGCGAAAAAGCAACAGCCACGCGATAAAGTGTAAAGCCCGGCTATTAGGTACTATAGCCCGGCTGCTTAATTTTTTATCGCTTCGTTTAGCCCGGCCGTAAGATTTTCTCCGCATTTTACAGCAAGCTATATGATTTTCTACAGCCTTCTTTAGCCGGCTATAAGAATTCCTATGGTATTTTGAAACGCAGCTCTTATCGCCAGGGGCGTAATGCAGGCCCAGATGTAGAACTCTGTTAAAAATATATTCTAATTTCAGAGGAGAGAAATTACCAATTTTCTGGAAATCAAGTAATTTCCTAAAAACCACGGATTTCAAGATTGCCTCCCCCCCTCATTTTTATAAAATTTCATCGAGCATTTAAAACGATTGGGTAGAAAATCATTGTATTGTGCTGATCATCTAGAGGCCCTTCAAGCCCGTAAGAAGGTGTGGAAGAGGTTGCGGAAGGGTATTGGCACTTGGCAGTTTTCCAAGAAGATATCCGTGGTGCGCAAAAAATTACGTTTCTGGTGTCTCTCCACAGACACCTGCGGACAGCGTTGAGAAACGGGACAGATAATGGAGCATTATAAAACAAATCATTGACCATAGCCACAAACCATGCATCTCACAATATTCATTTGCAGCAATGCCAAATTAAATTAAATTAAATGGGTACACATATTTCATCTACGAAATGCAAAGTAAAAGAGAAGAACGTAGAAACAAAATCAAGCACGACCCTACAATTTTTGTACTTTTAAATGACTACTGGTGGGGGTAAAAAACATTCTCACTACTGTATTTCATGCTGTAATCTTATTAAAATGGCTATTAGTCTTGCATTTCAGTTTCGTTTACACTAGTCAGTGTGTCAAAGTATTTTTCTACCTATAACTGTTCGATATTCGTCACCAATTTTTTATTCTCGGAGAGGTAAAAAAGCAAAAATGGAAACGTAGGAATTGAACCTTTAAAAAAAAATAATCACGAGAACACCAAGTTTTAGCAAAATGCAGTCGCTCTCTTACAGCAGACACTGACAGAAATATTTGTGCTTTTGTTTTATTTTTGGTTAATATAGAAAGTGAAACACAGGCTGACCATTTTGTGATGATTTTGATATACCTAGATTGTGACGAATTTAGCGCAGAAAACAATTAAGAGACTGGGAGACCCCAGAGTTACTCGAAGGCTTGGGTTGTTTTGTGTTTTACTTCCCATGTCAACACATAATGTTGGTTGCTTTTCTTACTGTGTTACAATGTGCCTTACTTCGAAAAATTCGTGTCTCTGACAACACGTATTTCCATTCTTTTTTTTAAAGGAAAGCGTTCAATATTTTAACTTGCATTTTTTTTTATTATTCTCAATCTTTGATGGGTAGAGGGCATCCATGAGGAGATGGAGAGATGCCAGCTTCCGGAGGATCTCTACCATGACAGATTCCTGTGGAGAATAGGCGTCGCAGAGCGCCCTAGCGCGCCGTAAAAGCGGCTCATACATACACATTCTCAATCTTTTCACTGATAAAAAAATAGCCACATAAAATTCCAACTTTCCAAACAAATAGAACAATCAGAGATTTTAAAACGTCGGGGTGAAGATACTCATTTTCCAACATGGAGTCACCGATCAAATCAATTTTGAATGTCTCAGAAGAAGAGTGAATCGCATCGACCGAGCGGTGGAGTCATTCGCACCACAGCGAGGTTCAAAGACACCAAGCAAGCGCAGTTTGATGAGACCATAAAAAAATTGAACAATATCCCCGAGTAGTCGCGTCTATGAATAAAACATATCCCGGCGTCATCAATAAGAATTGATGAGCGTGGCGGCACTGATGGATTTTGAACACCTACCCTCGCAAAGCTCCGGCTTCAGCGATGCCCGTGAGACGGAAACTTTATTGCGGGAGCAGGGGCGAGGCGTGAATAATCGATCATCGATATTTCCCCATTTAAAGCCATAGAAAAGAATCGATTATTGAGGAACACCCTGTTTATCGATCCTTTTCCATAGGTTTAAATGGCAGATACATCGCTGCACCGCAAAGCAGGCCACACCACTGTAGAGCCTCCCATCAAGTACACCATTTCATCGTGATTGGGCCTCACCCTTTCCACCTGAGACTTACGCTTTACATCAAGTGATTTTCATAAATCTCTGCACGGTGGAATAAAGAAGTTCAAATACACGGATGGAGAAATGACGGTTATAAGGACCTATCTTCGGCTTATACAGAACGCCGAAGTTTTCTGTCTGGTTACCTGAAGTTTTTCGTCGTACAAACCGTACTTCGATACTAATCACTGACATTTTTGGTGAAGAAAACGAACTAACAAAAACTTAGGTTACCTAGACTGAGGTCTGGTTCCTGCGACCAAAAGCTTCAGTTACATGGACTGAAAGCTGCTCCATTGAAGTGAAGTTTTTTTTTCCTCCGTATAGGGGGACGAGGACAGAAGAAATTGTGAAGTTATGAGTGAATTGATTAAAGGAACCAGAGCAATGTAAATTTTTAAGTTCTCCATTGCTTAAAGCTTATAGACCTTGTGGCCTTAAGCAATAAAAAACTTAAAATTTTACATCGTGTTGGTTCGTTCAATCAATTCACTCATTACAATTTTGGCGATGTTTGACATCAATTCACTAGCAAATGTGCAGATTCTAGCAATAGCTTTACTTCTTACTTCTTGGAAAAATATTAACAATGGGGCGATAGTGATTTGAGTTAATTTTAAATTTACAAGGATCTGATGTACAACTGAAGTGCAACAGATACATCCGACCACAACGCTTTGCAAAAATGTTGTTATTTATTTTATCAATTTTGATAAAATGTATGAAAAACAAAAAAAAAATCCTTCATCAGCATTCAAAGGTCTCACTGAAAACCACCCTTCAAACGAGTTTTCATGCCGTGAGATCGTCCGAACTCGGCGGCAAGAGTTTATCAGAATCGAAGTCTAACAATAGATGCGCATGCGGTGACTTGACCAGTGGAAAACGCCCTTTTACGTCCCTTCGCGATTATTCATCATTACTTAGCCAAGCGAGAATGAGAGAAAGCAAGGCGAGACAATAAATATTAATTTGAAAAGTAAGTCGGAATCTTAATTTTTTATTGTATGGCTTGTTTCTGAGAGTCAAAGGGGTGCATTTTTATTTTATTTCACCTTAATAATGTTAATTAGACTAACTCAACGAAGACTTTATCCTCGTGATATTCGACGAATCGATTTGTGATGGTTTCAAGCCACACAATAAGACCTTACCTCACGTCCATATTCTGAGTAATATTATCTGTATCAATGCATTTACAATTTTGTCATTAAAAATTCATAAGGAAATTAATGACTCATTAAACACGAAAAATATTGATCGCAAAAAATATGTCGACGCATCGTACAACCATGGCGCAAGTACGACAAAGTTATGTACATTGTGCCTGTTTACAATAACACCATTGAACTGCGATATAACCCGTATGACGTAGCGACTAAATCAGTATGTAGCGGTGCAGCCAGGAATTTTGCAAAGATTTGGGGGGGGGGGGAGTTGAAACTGCGTATGATGTAAAGAAGATAACCTTTCTTCAAAGAATAATTATTATTGAGTTAGGAGGAGGTGTCTAGAGTCTAGACCTCTAAACACTCCCTCCTCCTTTGCTATACCTTTACGGTTAATTGTATTCGAAGCATAATTTGTGCCCTTTGCATCACTTGGAAATATTGCCTTCGAAAAAACCTGTGGCTTCATTAAATTTTTTCATTTTCTCAGTGCACCATACTTCAAAACCAGGGCTGATTTGGTAATTAAAAATGCTATCTTGACTCATTATGCTTCTCATTGGAGAAAAAAGCAGTGGTCAATCATAAATACTCTTTAAAAAAACAGTGAAAACATATAATAAAATAAAAAAACATACAAAATAAATAAACAGCGTCCTAGGTTATATGATAAAAGAAAATTATTAATCAAACTTTTTTTCAGGGATTGCATATTTTGATGAATATTTTTTGTTTCTTCAATTGCTTTTTCATGCCCTTTCTTTTCGGTTTGTTACAGAGCCACCCAAATCCACCCATCTATGTCCGCGAAGGAATGGTTACTTCGCTCACCCTGATGAAAAAGTGTGCAATATATTTTACAACTGTATCGAAGGTGACGCAACAGAAATCGTATGCCCTACTGGGTTGCACTTCGATGAATACTCCGGCACTTGTGTGTGGCCTGATTCAGCGGGAAGGACAGGTTGCGGAGAACCAGAATCCAGTAAGTTTAGATTAAGCATCCCATTCACACGAGATTCGCAAAAATACGTCTCGTGGTGAGGGTCAGTTAGAGTAGTTTAATCTAACCTCGACGTTGGACGGTCAAACCAAAGTGGATTAACATTTTTTATATAGTCAGGCAAAATGTACATTGAGGTGATTTGTCCCAGGTGCGTGGCGTGATCAAACTGGCATATGCGATTTGTCACATGGATTCTGTAAAGAAATCGGCAGTTTTTTACTTTTTAGCCAAAAAATGACGGTAGCCTTAGCGTGTGAGCTAAAAAAATCATTCTCCCCCTCCCAAAAAAGGAAACAATAAAAATGCAAAATTCGGATGGACAAAAACAAGACTTGGCTACTACAAAACGTTGCATTCTTTCAAATTATTGATTTTTGTACCGATTGCATGTTTTTTTTTCGTCACCACATCCTGTTTTCATTTCTATATATTTTGCTTATTGAGCATGATTCTTCAGACTCATGCACCGTTTCGGCCCTGTTCGTCCATTTTCTCATAAAGTAAAATTCTGCCAAAATTTTTGACCTAAATGATTCGATCTATAGCTTCTGCCAAAATTGTTGACCCAACTGATTCGATATATCGCGTACCACTTTCATCACGCTAAGAATCCGGGGCGAATCAACTTAGGGTTGGTTCAAATAATTGTTCAATGCTGGGGACTTAATATTGGAGGAGACTTCAGCAGTGAATAAAAAAGTGTGTCTTTACACCTCGTTCAGTTACCACCAGTTGCAATACATGTTGTCTATGACCTCAATAACCACCTAGAGAGTAGTCAATATGTCTGGTAGACTTGTTTTATGAATTACATAAGTTTTACCACTCATTTAATTGGATCACACGCTCCACATAAAGTTTAATATCCATGATTCAGACAACTCCTTCCTATTTCCTCAAAATTATGTTGGCCTCTGTTTAAAGAGAAATTGGAACGTACTTTGAACCTCAAAATTTTAACGACAGTTATTTTCGCAACTTGGGAGAACTCGGATTCTTAGAGAGGTATAAGAACGTGGTTTGGGATGATTGGGGGAGGAGGAGATCGTCAGCACTGTAGAAAATAAGAACGATGCCATTCAAAGCTACTATTTTGATCAAAATCGTTCGTAGGCATAATAAAGTAACTTACGTTCTTTGAGCCTCAAAATGTTGATGATAGTTATTTTTGCAATTAGGGAGTATATGGAATTCTGAGAGGGTTCTTATAACGTGATTTGGATGATTATAATCGTTCTTCTTGTGAGCATAATACAATAACTTAACGACTTTAAAAACAAGTGACGTTTCATGGTGTCAAATCTGTTTCAGTGAAATTGAAAGACGGGTTCTCGTGTCCGAAAGAGGGTAACCAGCACCATGGGCAAACGGTTGCTCACCCTGTTTACGCTCACCCTGAAGACTGTCAAAAGTTCTACGTCTGTTTGAACGGCGTTACCCCCAGGGAACAAGGCTGCTCCGCTGGTGAAGTGTACAACGAAGAATCTCAAAAATGTGATAGCCCTGATAACGTACCTGGATGGTGAGTACATCTCTCTATCCCTCAATATTCAATCTTACATTATATGTTTAGAGCATTTAAAGACGTTCCATCAACTTTGACTCAGAGTTAACATATGGATATGATTTGTATTGATACTCTGAGAATTCAACTACTGACCTTAAGTAAAATTCATAATTTTCAGTTCCATTGTGTCCCAAAATTTTGTAAAAACTTTGAAAATCAATGTATAAAATGTTGATTTTACAAAAAGAAGAATAATAAAAACTGGTTAGTATGGAAGTAGGATCTTTCTATTTACATGGCTAAATTAAGGATATTAAAATTGTGAGGTCCGTCCCCCAAGGCTTGTAGATAGCCTTTAAATCCATGTCGGTCCCTGCAAACATAGGTCAAATTTATTTCACTATAAAATTATAGTTATTTATTTTTTTTATCTATATTTACTATAATTATATAAAATTATAGTAAATTATAGCTAATCGCAATTTGTAGTAAAAATGATGAAGATTATTTGCAAAATTTAATTCCTAAAGTCGTGCTCCTTAAATTTGGGGAGGGGGGGGAGTATGATTTGCAAAGCTCTTACTAATAGGTAAACGTAAGATTCAATTCATTCATCAAGCCTGCAGCGTGTGCATTTTCAGTATTATTGGCTTCTCTTTCCTTGAAACTAATTTTTTATTCTTACGAAATCAGGACATTGCAAGACGCTCCTTGACATTTGTTCGAATTGATATGCCTATAAGGTTTAGATGCGCGTTAGTATCCTATCGAGATTTCTAGATACGTCCCAAAATGTTGGTCTAAATTGCAAGAAAATCTGTTATTTTAGTTCTTTCTATGTGGGAACAAGGGTTGATAATTTACGCGAGACATTACACAACCAAAAAAAAATATTATATAGTCACTGCGACGCAGCTACTACAAAAATGTCACTTTTTTCAAGTGAAGAACGAGGGAAAGCGATAACAAGGGTATGGGTCAGATGAAAGCTCGCTAACTTTCCTTCTTGACTATTAAGGAACTTTTAGGAGCTCATCATCCACTATAACCTTGTTTTGTAATTCAAGCATGGCTTTTTGGTTTTCATCATTTTAAGCATTCCTATCCTCTGTCTTCAATTCTCTTCTTCAATTGAGCACTTTTCGCAAATGTACTGATTGCGTTCAATCCGTTTGAAAATTCGTCTGACCAGTCAGAAAGTAGATACATTTTTGGATTTTGTTTGATACTCGTACTTCACACTCAAAAAATTGGTTTTAACTAGCAGTTTCAATTAATATAAAAAATATGAATAGGTAGGTATATTCGTTGACATTTGTATTATTGATCTGAATCGTCGTCAAATGGTTCATAAATAAAATCACAATATTTACTACTGACAATTATCAATGAACTTAACGTATAGTTAGTACAGTAGTATAGTAATATATGTCAAACCTTTTCTTCGTTCAAATTATATTCATACAAAATGTATTTCTGTTTCAGTGAGGAATGGTACAAAGATGACCCTGCAGCACAAAAAACAGGCTCAAAGAGACAAAGAAGGCGAAAGTGATGTGATTTGAATTTAGCTAAATTTCCAAATTGAACCGTAACTTTAAGACTAATTTAATTTTAATTACTTAAAATTAAGGAAATAAAGTCCAAAACAACATAAAGCAGTAATTTATTTCTCCTTATAGAATTTATAGCAGAGGATAGGCACGAAAAGGAAAACAAAAAACCACTCGAAAACTCATACAACTTATGAAAGAAACTCATTTTCACCAGATGAAATCCAAGGCAAGAAACAGAAAAGTAATGCGTGTGTAGTTTAACTGATGTAAGACAAATTTCTGCCTAGCATACAAAAATATACATATGAATGTGCAGACTTGCCAGAGTTTGAAAATTTGCAGGAGCAAACAGATGCACATTTAGGTGATAAAAAACATTTGATATTGATATATTTTAAAACATAAATGGGTGGAATGTATGCACGTACAAAACGTAGCCTATTGGTTAAACATATGTAGGGTTGATCTCCAGAATTTTTTACGTTTGAGGTGGGCAGATAAAGTTTTTGAGCAATTGTTCGGCTGAATTTGATCAAATCATTTGATGGCCCTCTTATCATTCCTTCGACGTTTGAGCTGTTGACCTAAAAAATGTACCATGCACAAACTTAAGAGCAGAAGAAACTGCATGTAGCACTCAGACCCTATCCACGCTCTGTTCATTTTGATTTAATTCATGTTCACATACAGTGGAAATAGAAGTTAACGACCTTGCAGGAGCCGACCTCTTTCGATCGGTATAGCCGATAGTTGTTATAACAGATAGTTAGATTTTTACGCACTCGCCTCAAATTGAATAACAAAGAGTAAAGCTGTGGTGGCGCTAGGGTATGAAGACGAGATTTTCCTCTCTGCAGGAGTAGAAACACCCCTATTTTTAACAGTACATTTTAATTTTTTTATTTTATTCTATTTAATTTGTGTGTACACTAATGTATGTCACACGCGGTGCGCACTGATCAATAATTGTGCACACCGCGGGCGATAGGTCTGAAACCGATAAATTACGAATATTCAACTAGAATCGCGCACCTCAGTGTTTGACGCAATGCGTAAAGTACGCACTACGCATACAGTCTTGTTGTAAGCGCTAATGTGCGTTTCAAGCCGACCAAGCTGGCCGCACTGCGTTAGGCGCAATGCGTGAGGTATTCCCGCAGTCTAGTAGGCGCTAATATGCGCTTCAAGCCGACCGCACCGTGTTTGACGCAATACGTGAAGTATTCAAACGGTCTTGTAGACGCTAATATGCATTCTACGCACCTCACTGTGTTTGGCGGTTTTGTTCAAACTGAAGGAGTTGAGCAGATCTAATTTTGCTTGGTTGTTTGTGCCAGTGCACTAAAAATAAGGCCAAATCCCCATCACACACAAGGCAATAAATAACAACAACAAAGAACTTGTTACTGAGATGGAGATTTGGCGCACACTAAATGTATCATTGTCATTTAAAACGTGCTACATAAAATCCAGTTAATTTTCTTTTCTTGATGTGCATATGCATCGGCTCGGGCTAAAGCAAAATAAAAATCAAATAAAAGTTACTGAAATAATTTACAATGTGGACTGTACAGTTTTTTAATAGAGGACGACCAGGCTGCACGGGGCCGGCTTGAAGCAAAAAGAACAAAAAAGATACTCTCCGAAAAAAAAAGAAATGAATTTCAAGTCTCAAAATTTTGTATAACTTATTCGTAAAAAAATAAAAGGTGTTTGATGAGATGCTGAGAGATCGGCTCCTAAATTAACCTCGACCCTGTTGTTATGTGACATTTTGAATGGACCGCATTCAGGGGATTAGTTTAGCAGAAGCCTTACGATGTAATGGAATCCATATTGAATCCATGTGAAAATCCACCCTCTATTTTCAATTTTACAAATCAAATCTATAGGGAAATTCTAGTATGCGGATCTTTTGGCACTGGTATTTCGGCGCAAAAGTTTCAGCACCCGGGGTTTTCGGTTTTTTTTTTTTTTTTTTTTTTTTTTTTTAAGTCATCAGAATTTGCTCACCATAGTGTTTTACCGTGTTGTTCAATTTGAACCCTATTCTCCTCCGTGCCGTCGATCACCCAATAGTAAAGCCGGTCCACCTCATTCAAAGTTCAACTTTTCCCTCACCCGTAAACTTTTCTCGAGAAGTCATTTAGGGGCCTCGGAGATAACTAGTCTCCGGAGGCCATAACGTCCTGCGAGCGAGGGTGAGGGTTCGGGTTCAAACGGATGTCAAACGGAGGCAGACGAAGGAACGGAGCTCGGGCGAGTGACAGGATAAAACGGATCATCGCCCGTGGTCTCTAGTCGCGTCTCCAATACTGCCGTGATAAGGAAAAACGCCGTATGGGCATTCGAATGTTGCCAAATTGCCTCTCAAAAAGTTTTTATTTTTGAGGAGCTTCATGAATATTTTTCCTTGAAATTTCCAGACACTTTAGGTCAAATTACGAACAAAGTCTTTAAAAATTGGAAGACAAACTGTCCTTTCCCCCACGAAAGAACGTAACTACATATCAACGTTGCCAAATTTCCTAGCAAACTGCATTTTTACCAGGAGAACCTCAGGCTTCTCTAACTGAAAGAATTACTACGTTTTCTTCTGATCTCAGGCAAAAATCAGATATTTTGCTTTATCTGCCCAGGTATAGTCTCTTAGAGTCCATTTATAGAGAGAGTTAATACAACGCGGCCTATGGATGTCACAAACGGGAATAAAGATTACACAAATCGGATGTTTTTTGTAAATTCGATCAACCCCTTCCCAAATTCCTGTCTACGTTCCCTCTCTTATTCCATGTGTTCCTTGCCGTATCCTCAATTTTCCGGTCCATTTCGGTTTATAATCTTTGCAATTGGTGAAAGTGTAATCTTCATTCCCATTTGTGACTCGACTGTAAAGGCCTAAAATATGGGAACCAATCTGATTTTGATTCGCATTGTCATTACTCTCAGTATAAAGGTACTCTAGTACAGCCTTGTAAAAAATGACATTGTTTGAATCAATTTTGCAACGTTGGAATAAAGTTTCGTACCCTCGTCTGATGGGAAACGACGAAACGCTCGTTTTTACATATTTTCCTTGAATAAATTCGTGATTTGTGGAAGGAAATTCGGCAACGCCTGAAGGCTCATAGGGCGTTTTTCCTTAGGGCGGCAGAATAGGTCCCAAGCGGAGTCATGTCCATGTCACCGGGCCAAGTTCATCTGAGACGGATTGTGTAACGATTGTGCTCTCGAAGATTCCACCGATGACTCAATTCGATCCTTGATCACCGTTCACTCCGAGTCATCCTCACTTCCGCCCAATTTCACGGCTCCGTGTAATTTCTCCCGGGATTCACCACGCTGCATCCCGTCGCGATTATGGGAATCGGCGTTTTTGCGTAAAAGCACCCGGAAAGAACCGTTTGACGGGCTGAGACACTCGTCTGCATTACTTGCACATTTCGGTGCAGTGAGGCATATATTTGCGCATGGTTTTGCGCTCTGTTTGATCTAAAACTCATGAAAATTGTTTCTTTATCGCCGGAGAAACGGGAGAGGAGGCAAGTTGGAAGTTTTCAAACGAAAAAAACCTACACTGGAAAAAAAGTTTTACAATCCCAACTATACTCCTGGCTGATTTTGGCGCCAGAGTGTTTGCACTAGCCAGAACCAAGTAACATTTGGACTACATTTTGCAATTTGGAACTATAAATTCTAGCCTGGTTTAAAGACAATGTATGTGCCATTAGTATTCCTATGCACATAAGTGTTTTCTCAGAAGAGCCAGAATTTAAAGTTCCAAATTGCAAAATGCAGTCCATTTTTCAACGGAAAAATCAGGATGTATTGCAATTTTATCGGCGATAAAATTGCTAGGATCGTCTACATCTGAGCAATTATCCTCGATCTTATCGGGACAAAATCGCGATCTTATCGCCCGGCAATTTATCTTGATATTTTCGAAATAAAAATCGCGATAAATGGCGATTTAATGTCGATTTTATTGACGATAATTGATCGCGATTTTATCGAACCAAACATTGCGATGTGCAGCAATTTAATAACAATTTTTTATGCAATAATATCTCGATATAACGCCACCGATTTTTGTCGCGAGCACTGATACTTGGGGAGGTGTGGTTGATCGAACAACACTTTCGGCGTACCCAAACATACCTCTGACTGGTGCAACTAATCGTATACCCAGCGCCAAAATCAACAAGGCAGGGCCGGATTTAGGGGGTGGCCACATGGGCCGAGGCCTGTGGCGGAAAATTTAGGGGGCGACAAAATTTTCCAATTTTTTTTTAATGTGGTATGAAAAAGAAAACAAATCGGATTTAGCAAAAAAATTACAAACGAGAAAAGGCGACAAAATCTCTCATTTCCTGAGAGTGTAGCAATTTCTAATTTTGTCGTCTTTCGGTGATACAAGGGACAGCACCATTAATTAGTCGAGTTAAGAAAGAGACCAAACACCCAACTTGGCCTAGAACGGCGCGGCGGAGGGAACGATGATGACGAGCATTTGAGATGAAAAGGGAAAGCCCGCGGCGCGGCGCGGCGGTTGGCATAAAACACACATTAGCGCCTACAAGACTGCATGGATACTTCACGCATCGCGTCAAAGACAGTGCGGTCAGCAGCGGTCGGCGGGAAACGCATAGCCCCTACAAGACTGCATGGATACTTCACGCATTGCGCCAAATACAGTGCGGTCAGCGCGGCGCGGCCGAAAAAGTTAAAATTACTAAGCCACGCACATTAATGTTTGGTCTTTCATAATTTTTTCGTTCATTTCTTATGAGTGGAAGACCTTGTCCAAACAGAGATAGGTTTATGGGACTTAACTTTCGCGCAAAGTTACGTGAACTTTTGCTAGAAATGTTAACACACCTTTCGCAAGAAACGTATCCAACACGAGTACGCGTATTTTGCACCCCTCCCCCTACAGCACGTTCAATTGATGGTTTTCATTGATGTTTCAAAACGAATGAGAAGGGGGCGGCAAAATACAGGCGGACCATGGGCGGCAAGTTGGTAAATCCGGCCCTGCAGCCAGGAGAATAGTTGGGATTGTCATACTTTTTTTCGTGCATCTACAATGATAGTTCCTAAAAAAGATATAAAATAATATAGCAGCACACGTACAATTTATCGCTCTTTGGCATGAATTAATTTTGAATCTTGCATCCTAGGGTACTCAAATCTATGTTGTGGCTTTCGTAAAAACACTGAGTTACACATTTTTTCCTGAAATTCCAAATTTTAGGTAATCTGCAGTTCCTCAAAATAGAAAACACTCCCAAAATTTTGCAGAACTATGACACAGGGAAAGATTTAATTTTTAAAAAACCAAAAAATGCGCTGTTACGAATAAACAGTCTAGAAAAATTTCATGAAAAATAAAACTTTGAAATTTCACGTGAAATATTTCATGATATTTCTGAAATTTATTAAAGATATTGATAAAATACCGGTTCCTTTTTATGTTTCGCAAAATTTAAAAACTGTGACTTTCTTCTATTTTTGAGTGTTTGAGTGCGGGTTGCATAATCTAGCCCCTGAAAAGTATGAAATATTTCAAGCCTCGTGATATTTCATGAAATATTTCACTGATATGTCCAATCTTTCATCCTTTCTTACGTTTCAAGCCACCCTGCGAATAAATGACACTATGCCATAGAGAGTTAACGCGGCGCACATCGATTGATATAGGCGCTTTCAGAGGGATGAGAACTTAGGTGCGGTTTGTCAAGCACTCAGTTATCTCATCATTGAAAGCACGTCGCATGAATGACGTGCGAAGTCAGTAACCTTTCTCAAAAGTTGAACAACTTAGGCGACATGCCATCTGTAACTCCTGGTTCAAGGGCGGCCGTCCCGATGACCATTACTATACGGACATTGCCGCCACCAAATGACGTGCGTTCATTGAATGATAATCACCACCGCTCGCATCAGAATTACGCCGTAAGCCAAGGTGGGGTCCGTGTTATATTCACCTCCTGCAACGTGCAACTTTATCAACTTTTGCATGGATGCCGATTTCTGGGCATTAAATTAAATTAGGTTCATCAAATGAAAAATAGGAAGAATAAGGGCAATTTTTTAAAGGAAATATCATATGGAATTGGTTAAGATTTGTGATGTAGTGTCTCTGGCATCTCGGTCTCTCAAACTTTCCCTAATATTTCTATTGGGGTTGTTTCTTGTGTTACGGCATTTGCAAATTGATTTACATTATGCAATCAGGAACAATGGATTCTGGCTCAGTTTAGGAACAACGCATGTGTACCATTACTTTCCCTTTTCACATAAGCGTTTTTACTTATATGCCAGAAATTGTAATACCTCATTGCAAAATGTAGCCCAAAGATAACTCCGGAGTTATTATCACTTGGACACACATGACGGAATCGAAACTTAAGCACTCTAATCTGGTTTTCACAGAGGTATATCTGCTCCATAGCACTATACTACTTTCGGTTTGAGAATCGTAGCCTCCTTCCCTACTCCTGTTCATAATAGGCATCCAATGCTTCTCAAACACTTTGTATATGGCAAGGAAGTTTGTGGGTGTTTTTCTTTGCGACCGGTGTGCGTCAGGTTCATGTTCCGCTCTCATTAGTTATGTATTTTAGACTCATACAGTGGACAACAGCCAATAGCAATAGGAAGTATCTACTTGACCTTCACTGAAAGGCTGCAAGTTTTAAAACTTGCTCTTTCCCCTTGAATTTGATATAACAAGAGCAAAGACTGCAAAATAATGCCTCACGTGATAATTGAATCGATTTCGTTGCACTTTAGATGATTTTTAAACCGCTGCGCACACCACGCTTTCCTACCATCTTCCCTGAGCGATCGTGACATTTGAGATTGATACCACTATTCGACCACTTAGGCGCTCGGGCTGCCTACACTCGAAATTGAAGGCAAACCGACAGTGAGGCATAAAGTCACCGCTCTACGCTACGCTCAGTGAATTATTCCTGCATCAGGAATTGCTTTTAGAACCCCTCGTCGTGCGGTTTTTTTCTTGGTGAGATTTTGTAAGCAAGAGAAAGCATGTGAAGTTTAATTTCTCATTTTAACCTGGTCTAGTGAGCCATTTACTGAGGGGCGAAATGTGTAAATAAGACAAGTCGCAAACATCTTTGAATGGACATATTTTGCTCCGTGCAAGATATTTGTCTCGGCTTAGTTGGGAAATTAATGACGAAATAGGCAAGTGCGTAGTCTGCATTCCTCTGTCGCGTAAGTTCTATCTTCCCCTGAACTTACAATCGAAAAACACTCGAGCATTGGAAGAGTGTTATGCAATATTGAATTTATTCCCAGCTCAGTTTACTGTCAAATTATGTTTACCTCCATCAATTCACATCTTTAAATACCCATAGAATGAAAGTACTCGGGTAGCCTCCAGTCGAACTCTGTTTTGAGCTACTCTAAATAGCGCATACCTCGAAAAAAAAAAAAAAAAATAGCCAGCGCTGATGGCAAACCGATCACGCCTGAGCAACTTCACGCAATTTTTCTCCACTCAGCACCGCAAGAACATTCGAAAGTTGTCAAATTAATATTGATGAAATCCGAATTCACTGCAACTTATCTAAATAACTTTCACTGGAAAAAGGTATGAAAGAAGTTGCATCCAGAGTCCAGGCCCTTGAAAACTTTGACAAGAAAAAATACTTCCGATTCAATCGGATTTTCGTTTGAGTCAAGAGAAAAGTTGTAAGAAGATTGACCCGATAATTTTTTTTACTGTCAAATTTTTTAGAGGCAAAGGCTGGACTCTTCATCCACGAAACTTTTTTCCCAGTGTTCTTTATATGTTTCCAAGAATTTTATTTTTTTAATTTGATTTAATTACTTTGAGAAGGGCACAGTAAATGTATTCATACTTGAAAGTAAATTCACCTACGGCACTTTGGCAAAGTCAGAATACTCACAGGGTGTCGTTCTTCAGGACGGCAAACGGCTGCAGGTGCAGACCGGCAATCGGCATGTACACTGCCGTGTTAAGGAAAAACGCCGCATGAGCATTCGAATGTTGCCAAAATTCCTCTCAGAAAATATTTCTTTTGAAAAACTTCGCGAGTTTTTCTCCGTGCAACTTTCAGTCACTTTAGATCAAATTGCTAACCAAATTCTATAAACTCACAAAATAAAAATACTCACAAATTTTCCAGGAAATATGTGATACGTCAAAGGAGATTTGACAGTGCCTGAGGGCTCATGCGGCGTTGTTCCTTAGCAGGGGAGCATAAGCTTTGGACGCCCACACTGCCATGCTAAGGAAAAACGCCGTATGAGCCTTCAGGTGTTGTCAATTTTTCTCTGATAAAATACGTCGCAATTCAATGTAAAATATCTGAAAATTCAAGGAAATAATGCATGAATTTCGTCAAAAATACATGTTTCATCCGGAGAAATTTGGCAACTCTCGAATGTGCATGCGGCGTTGTTCCTTAGCAGGGGAGCATAAGCTTTGGACGCCCACACTGCCATGCTAAGGAAAAACGCCGTATGAGCCTTCAGGTGTTGCCAATTTTCCTCTGATAAAATACGTCGCAATTCAATGTAAAATATCTGAAAATTCGAGGAAATAATGCATGAATTTCGTCAAAAATACATGTTTTATCCGGAGAAACTTGTCAACTCTCGAATGTTCATGCGGTGTTGTTCCTCAGGACGGGAGTATAAGCTTTGGACGCCCACACGCCGGGTCGTGCCACGATCTAAGCTCTCCCCTCCAAGATGGGCCCGGGTCGGAGCGGTGCGGTGCGACGCGGCTGCTGCGGCCGTGAAGAAGAAGGAGGATTTTCTGGTCTAGTCAATGACTGAAACCTCGGAGCCTGTCTGCGTAACCAAGCTCGGAGGACGAACCCGAAGACGCCGCGCCACCGTGGGTCCACCGACCAGTGATCTACCTCCTGCCTTCTTACCCGGTCCGTCTTGTGCCGCGACTTGTGACTCGCTCTACCGGCAAGATGGATTACCACCACATCCTCGCCGTCGGCCTACTCTCCCTCTGCCTCGCCGGTAAGTTTACCCGAAATCCATCAAAAACCGAAGAAAATGATCCTTGGTCTCTTTGCTGCGCGTCGACTCAAAAATGGACCGCGTAGAAAGAAACCCAGCCTTATCAGCCACTGCCAAATTTAACTTAGCAATTTAAAATTTTACAAGAGATTTTACGGATTCTTTCGACAATTTTAAGGAATTTCCTTCTTTCTTTGTAAACAATGGAGATGTTGCATGTGTAAGGAATTTGCGATTTGACTACTGATTCTTATGTGAAAGTTCGCGAGAAACACGATGGTGCCACTGATTTTCTCTGAAATCAACTGCCAAGCTGAAAAAAGATCTCAAGTTGAGGCCAAAATGGTGTGGATATCCCACGCTATCCTGAGAGTCCACCTCTACATCAAGACAAACTCTCCCATGCAAAGATAGGGAGTAAATACATTGACAGGGCTGCCACTTTATTTGGGGACTCCACAACTGAAGACACGGCAACCCTGCTAATGTATTTACTCCCTATCTTTGCATGGAGAGTTTGTCTTGATGTAGAGGTGGACTCTCAGGATAGCGTGGGATATCCCCTCCATTTTGGCCTCAACTTGAGAGCTTTTTTTGAGCTTGGGAGTTAACTTAGAGAAAACCAGTGGCACGATCGTGTTTCTCGCGAACTTTTACATAAAAATCAGTAGTCGAATCGCAAATACCTCACACATGCAACATCTCCATTCACTGAACTTTGCACAAAAATCTGCACAACTGTAATCATGTAAAAAAAATTACACTGCCCAGTTAAATTTTGCAATAGCTGATGTGGCTTGGTTCCTTTCTGCTTAATGTGGTCCAAATTGTCACAATGGTCTGAGTTTCTTTTTTGAGTTGACAGCGTTTTTGGCGCTTTTTCACTTGGCCCCGCTTCACTGAAAAAGAGAGGTCGATGTCGAAAGAGTAATAATATGAGTATGGCAATTCACAATAGTATAATGTCAAAAATCTGGTAATACTCACCATAACTATATGGTGTATATATGATAGGCAACGGTGGTTAGCTCCACTCAAGTGCATCACTGCGTCATAGATCAAGTAGACTTTCTGTAGAATTTTCCATCCTTTTTTCAACGTAAATAAAAACCGCAGAGCCCCGATTCAAGTCTCACGAATTTTTCTCAGACAGTATTTTAGTGCAATATAGCTTTTACATCCCTCGAGTTTGTTCTTAAGGATAAATATCATTGGAGATGGAGTGCATATCCTGAAAGTGCAATCAATGTAATTTTTTTAAATAAAACTATCCGTCTAAAAAAAGAATCATCAAATCTGAAGTGAAGTTTGACGATTTTTTTTCTGAGCACGTGCTTACCACGCGTCACTCAAACGTCTCTAAGGGAACTCGCTTATTTTGCCGCTATGATTGTTGATGGTCACGGGACAGTAAGATAAAGGAACCAGAGAACCCAGATATCTGTAAGAATCAAAAGCTGATTAGCCTAACGATTCTCAACATTGGATCATTTCATCTGGAAAACTCTTTCTCATTTATCCTTGGTATTTGCTTATCGGTCAAACATGTTTACCGTAGGACAGTTTAGTAAACCATATTTTCAAAACGATCAAGTTCAGAGTTTCGAGAGTTTGAGCAAGCCTTATTTTTACAATTATTTATCTTATGAGCGGGAAATTTAAAGCGTTTCCTAACTTCAAAGGGTTAGATAATTAATAACTATTAATAGAAGTTCACTTAGAACAAATAGTACTTCGACTAGGCAGCATTAATAGGCGAGAATCTGTATTTGTTGTAGCAATTATTTCCTCGATATCTGAAAAGTTTTCTGCCGTGTTACCTAGAAAGGTAAACTCATCGGCAATCATGCGATGGTAATTAAACATGGCGTGATGCCAAACTTTACACGAGAGAAACGTCCTTTCTCCAATTAAAGAAAAAAATTAAAACGTTCATCGTCGGCCCGCTTCCAGCGCATTCGACAGGTAGAACGTCAGCCTCAAGCGATGGGTCATGCTTCGAACGAGATACATTCCCTCTAAAGATAAAATCTCAATCTTCCCAAACTTCGAAATTATCTGAGCGTCTCTGTTTTTTTTTTCTTTGCACAAATAGGCATGAAACCCGCGAATTCCAGTCAACAATACAAAGGAGTTAAAATTCACCTCCGTAATCTAGGGTTTTTTTTTTTTTTTTTTTTTTTTTTTATTTTTTTTTAGAACCACACACTGAGAAAAAGCTATGGCTTATAAACCAGTTAATGGTTCATATGGAACACCACTAAATAGAGTAAAGGCAACATATAATAATATCACTTATACCTTGGTGATGGTGTATATACCTCAGTATGGTACGAGAGAACTTAGTAGGTTCATAGACCGATAGTCATTAGTTCATTCACGACTATTAGCGGTGTTCTTTATGAACCACTAATTGGTTCATAGGGCCATAGATTTTTGTCCGTGCAATGTACCAATAGTGATCCGAGATTCCGAGAAAAGTTCCAAAATTGGACGATGGACACTCACGAAAAAAATTTTGCCTGTTGCCGGAATCTAAATTCCTAGGACCAAAAAGAAACCTCATTCCTTTTCAAGATCGCAGCTTTCCTCCTGTTTATAAAAACCGCAATATACTCAGGAAATAAAACTGCGCGGGGAATTTTTTTTTTTTTTTTTTTTTTTTAAATCTTATAGTGGATTTCGGGTCAAAATTTCTCTTCTAGTCTTCGTTACAATGTGACTTTTCGTCGCTTCTCTGACGTTAGGGTGTATCTTTAATTCCGCATACGCCCCGGAAAGCATAACACGTTATACGGGGAATACTGTCGTGCCAAGGAATAACGCCTTATAAACACTGAAGAGTTGGCAAATTGCGCTCGATAGAATGTTTATTTTTGCGGAACGTTATGAATATTTTTCCTTGAAATTTTCAGGAACCATAGGTGAAATTGCGAATAAAATTATTTGAAAAACTGGAAACAGAATATTCATGAGTTTACCAGGAAATTCGTGTTTCATCAAAGGAAATTTGGCAACGCCTGAAGTTTCACACGGCGTTTTTCCTTAGCACAGCAGAATAGGGCTCAAGTGGAAATTTAGGTACGTCAGAGGAGCTATATTTTGTGGTATCAAATAGTTTCGTCTTTGTAACAATTCTGAGGTCCAACGAGAATTCTACAATGTCACTGCAATCAAAATAGCTATTACTATAAAAAGCAACATTGTAAATGCAAATAGAAAAGTATGCTGGACCTGGAATTTGCTATGGGTACCTTGAGAATGACGGTTCTTTTTTCCTCATGTGTGAACAAACTTGAATAAATAACGATTTAAAAAACCAAGCAGGCATAATTTAATGTTGCGAGTGATTTTTGGACACCTAAACGGCATGTTAAAATTCGTTCATTCATGTCTATACGCCCACGCCTAATAAGAGGTTACATCGGCGTGTTACGGTAGTGCCGGCGGCGTCTTCCTCAGGTAGCGTCGCGACGCAACGCCTATCGTCCCACTCGTTCGCTCCGGTCTCATTCAACCGAAGGGTGGAGCAGGAATTTTGCAAATTCATCGACCTTGAGTCTGAGTATCCTGTTATTTCCTCTTTAATCAATAACCGCAGGAGAAAATCGTCTGACATAACACTCAGATGAATCAAACACCTGGAGGCGCCACCAAATCCAGCGGAATTTCAATAAAAAATATCCATCGAGAAGAAATTACTATTTTAAGCACACAAATACTTAATATTGCTAGACGAAAGGATTTTATCCGATACTTAGTTAGATTGATGAAAATTTGCGCCTATTAAACTAATCTTAAGGATATGGAGGTGTCACATTTTGTTTTTGACACTTTAAGATGACTCATTGGTACTCTATTTTAAATATTTTTTCGATCCGAGCTAATAAACTATTGGAATGAACACAATTGGTTCTTTTTGCTAACTGTTGGACTGACCAATTGGTTCTTTTTTGAAAAATGATTATAATTTGCATAAAATTTTGTTGTCACTTCGCAAGTATTTATTAACATTTTCTATAGCGGTGCAAAACTTTCTGCAAGAACTTTCAAAAATTAAATCGTATTCTCTGGAGGGCAGAGGGCATAAGACTCACGAAACCTGCTTTTCGTTGCTAATAATATCTTGACAACGCGCATGAGTACTTGGGCCTCCACCCTCCACCCTCATCGAATGTCAAAAATGTAATTGATTGTATAGCACTCGTCATGCGCAAAATACTTTCAGCTTATACCCATGCATCACGTCAGACACTATAACGCATGGAAGCTAAGGGTCGTGATTTTTTCAATTTCCGCCTTTAAAAAAAGAAAGAACGAAAATAGGGCAAAACAAAGAGGGGAAAAGCACAATTCATTCTATCCCATATTCTTTACTTTGAGCGGTGAATCTTCTCTTTCTCTTACGAGTCTACAGCAGTGCCTCATACAGAATATTCGTGTGCATTGTAAAGCTCGTGTGGGAATACAATCGATTATTCATTACAAAATCGGTTTTATGATGTTTGACGGTATTTAGTATAATTACCCTAGCTTCCCTGATGGAATATTAAACACGAAGAAGAGTTAAGAAATGTTGAGGCCCAATAGTTTAGTATTGTCAAATGTTATTTAGTATAAGTATCAATTATAAAACTATTTTAACTCCAAAGAAGCTCAAATTGCATAACCACTTGGATGAAGGGGGCCTTTATTTCTTGCAAGTTCCCAATTTTAGTCTTTATTTTTTAGACTTGTGAGCGACATGAAACCAAATTTGCCCATTGTAAAAACTTTAAACGTCTGTATGTTACTTGAGTCGCAAAAACGAAACTCGGAACTGTCCGTTCACAAGGTACACAACATAGATTCTTTGAGATCAAGCCTCCCTTCAGATAACGGTTTTACGATAATTAATGGTAATGTGCCTCATAAGAAATCCTGGAAAAATTTAGAAAGACACGCCGCAAATCTCTATAAACTATTCTTTCTTAGGTCACGTCCTATCCTCATCTCCAAATACATTTCTCCGAAAAAAGTAAGAAATTATTTTATCCCTTTGTTTCTGCATCTCTTTCTCTAGAGGTGATTAGTCAGCAACAAGCAGCGTTCAAATGCCCAGACACTGTGAAAACTGGCTACTATCCAGACCCGGTGCAATGTGACCTGTACTACAGATGTGTGGGAGGTCAGGCTGAGGAAAGGCTCTGCCCGGACGGACTTCTCTTCGACGACTCAAACCCCAGCCACGAACGCTGTGACACACCCGTCAATGTCGACTGTGCTGACCGAACTGAACTCCGTAAGTATCGCGGCTTTATTTCGTCTTAAACCCACCTTTTTCCGCTGCTGTCCATACAGGGTGCTCCAGCAAAGTGCCAAGTTTGTTAGCCAATATGCCGGGTCTTATACTGCGCATAGGCACTTCAAAAGTTGCACAGCGGATCGAGCCAATTAGAGAGGTCGGACATGAAATTTTTGACTAAAATCGAAAATTTCGATTTTCATTTTGTCACATTTTAAATTTTAAGGGGTGCTCCTAGCAGAAAATTTCACGGGGAAACCAATAAAACTACTTTTAGAACCTTAAAATTGTGTATAAAAGGAGTAATATACGTTTAAAGTTTCCAAATTTTGTCCGACCTCTCCTCTTGACTAGACCCACTGTGCGTTGGGCTGAAACTATTCAAACATGGTAGTCACGGGGCACAGTGGATCGAGTCAATTAGGGAAGTCGGACATGACATTTTTAACCAAGAAACGAATTTTGATGTTAATTTCATCACATTTTAAATTTCAAGGGGTGCTTCTAGAGATAAATTTCACGAAAAAACCAATGGAACCACTTTTAGAACCTCACATTTTTGTATGAAACGTTTAAAGTTTCCAAATTTTGTCCGACCTCCCCCATCGACTTGATCCATTGTGCGGGGTTGCACATGTTCCGCATTTTTTTAGTACAAATGTCTACTCGAGGGTAAAAAAAAAGATTTTTTTACTTTAAGTCAAAAATCACATTACATAAAAATATGAACAGAGTAAAATTTCAATCGAAATTGTTCGATGAATTGTGTTAGTGACATGCAGACTGAGTTGCATCATAACATGATCGTGTTCTGATTATTTAAGTTTAAAAACTAACCAAAGATACACTATAAGATTTGCTTGAATTTTTGCACGTCCAATACAAAAGGTCCTCATCGTTCTCATGCACCCAATTCCTCATCGAAAAACATGGATTATAACGTCATCCATTGCAGTAGTGAATCCCACGGATTCTTTCACCTTGGTCTCATTAGTGGCACACACATTAGTACCGGTTGCTCGGCGTAAAACACACGGAGACCTAAGAAGAAAGGAGGAGCAAATGAACAAATAGAAGGAAGAAATTACGGTTTTCTCTACCGCGGTCGATTTTTTCATAGACGCCGTCTATTTCGGTGGGCGATATATTTTCGTTTATTTGTACTTACATAAGAATTCGCCGTTTGGACACATCTTATTTTTTTCTTATCAATGTGCTTGGGCTATTAAAATCCTGTTCTGCGAGTAGCACAACTGACACACTGCAATGTTCCAAGTCTGCTTGTGTTATATTTAGTTTAAAATAAAACCAAAAGTTTTGCTTAAAATCGTCTTAGAAGTTGCTCAACCCTTTCAAAAATATTCCGAAAGAATATCAAAAATACGAGTATGCGTTGGTTAGAAAAAAAATAGTTCTACATCATTAAACATTGCAATGGAGTCATGAATTTTACAACTTCAGTAATTGATACGTAAAGAAGTTTATTTCGTGGAAGTCGCTGAAGTATACACGGAAAAAAAAGAGGTAAGGGTTACCCTGGTAAAAATTGGCAATAGGAGCTGCGTTTCAAAATACCATAGGAGTTCTTATGGCCGACTAAAGAAGGCTTTAGAAAATCATATAGCTGGCTGTAGATTGCGGAGCACATCATATAGCCGGGCTATACGAACCTATAAAGAAGTATGCAGTCGGGCTATAGTTTCTATCGCCGGGCTTTACACTTTATCGCCATTGGCTATTAAAGGCTATAAGAAATTGTGTAGAAATTCGTGTGCTTTGGAAATCATTAAGTTTTTTATGGAACTACCTTAATGTTTACAAAACACACATTACCTATATTTTCCTTTAAACACATTTTTTCCATCAATTAAAATGAGAATAATCCATACAGAGTGTGCTTAAACATTTCAGAATCATGAGTTGAAAAACGCTGACTCCGCTAGATTAAATATTAGAGCCTAACACAAAGCGGAGCGGCGACGCACTGGCACCTACAAACCTAACAATGATACTTCACGCATTGCTCAATGCGTGAAGTATCACTGTTAGGTTTGTAGGCGCCAATGCGAGTTTCGCGCTCTCATGCCCGCACGCCGCGCCGCAGCGTGCCACGGCGTATGAAGCAACTATTTCACACCAGACATATTGCACAGTATCATAAGAAATTGAAGGCGCTCTAACATATTAAGAATGGCAAGCATCCTTCAAAAGTACGGAGCTTTATAAAATATATCAAGATACTACGGCACAAAAAGAGAACGGTAGTCCAAAAACTCACTAAGCCCTAGTATCCGTATTTAGTAACGTTTTACATAAAATTTATCGTCTGGCTAATGCTTAATCGTCATCGGCTATAAAAGGCCTTAAGAAATTGAACAGCCGGCTATAGAAGCTATTGGAAATCTTACAGCCGGCTTTAAGTCTATGGTATTTTGGAACACAGATTCTACTGCCAATTTTTACCAGGGTAAGTCCCAACTGTTGGATGATACGGACATTCCCAATTAATTGTGGTAATACTCCGATGAATTGCGGTAGTATCCCAATTAATTGTGGTAGTATCCCGATGAATTAGGTTACTAACCCAAATGTTGCGGCACTACCCCCACTTGAGTTGCGGTGCTACCAAAATGAATTGGAAATGTCCATATCATCCAACAAATTGGGTTAGTAGTACAAGTTTAGGGGATAATCCCTGACACTTTTCCGTGTAACGTTAAGATTTTTGCTTTTTTTGTCTTTCAGAGGAGCCGAAGCCGTCAAAGGGATGCCCCAGGGCAAACGGTTTCTTCAGGCACCCGGACCCATTGGTTTGCGACAAATTCGTCAACTGTATCGAAGGAGCAATGAACGAGCTTCCTTGTCCTCCAGGTCTCATCTACGACGATACGGCCAGCACTTGCGCGTGGCCCCATGAAAGCACGCGACTAGATTGCACCAACGTTAAGAGCAAGAAACGTAAGTCACAGACCGAATTTTATCCACGATTTAATACTTTAGGATGGTTGTCGTCCAATTGACAATGTTCCAATCTATAAATCGTTAAATTCCTTGTTTTTGCGGTCAATGTTGAGGTACAGAATCTTGTCTTCAGCTTTTGAAGTAGAATTAGAAACAAGGAACGTTTCAACCAGTGGCAAGCCGTGAATGATCGATTCTCGATATTTCCCCATTTGAAGCTGAGGTAAAGAATCGATTATCAAGGAGTTCGCTGCGAAAACTCTGTTCTAAGAAGTTTAAATGGTAGATCAATCGATACATCGCAAAGCACGCCGCGCCACTGCAACAGTTAAAGTGCTATCATTGACGAGGAATATGAACTTCGAGCAGGGCTATGGGTTTCCTTCCGTGCAGTCAGTGGTATCGAGTACTGTCAGTGGAAAAAACAAAAACAGACGAAAAAGTCGGTGACAAAATTCATCCATACGAGAAAAATTTTATGCAAAGTCTCTTGACTACATATTGCCAAAAATCATGCATTCTTGAGCTGAACGCATTTTATTATTAAATGGACATTGGACATGCCGGATCGCAAACAATGGAAATAAACTGAAAAATCTCGAAAAACCACCAATGATCATAAGCACTGGGATGAAAAGAAACTTGTATCATGAGCATGGAAAAACTACCTAAATCCATCCACCTGGTGCAGTTTTTCATATTGTATCAGATATTTAACATCAATTTACCATGATCGTTTATCAAAGAATGATAAAAGTGTCGTGCCATCATAATTTGTATATTGCCATCATATTCACATTATGCACGCCATTAGTTCAGTGAAGTGTGACATCGTTGAAAATTTCACTTATATACATGGTGCATACTAAATACTACAGATTGATTTAGAGAAAAAGAGTTAAAATAATCTGGAAAAAAACTGCGTTGTATTAAATTTTTCCGAAAATTCAACGGTCTGACGTTTAACACGTGATCAAGAATGAAGTTCGCGAATGATGTTCGTATATGAAGTATCACGAGATACATGAGAGTTTTTTTAAAAAGAAAAACAACACCTATTTGAAATGCATACGATGGATTACAATAGTTTGTTAATTTGAAAAGTTAAAAAATGCATGTTTCGGTTTCTTTGATCCTTATTGAAATTTAAAAAGTATGCTTCATGCGTAGACGCTTCTACAGCGATTCGTTAGATTTGAAATAAGGTCAGTATGCGCTCATTTGATGATAATTTATTATTTACAGCAGTTCGACGAAAATACGTGGATTTAATCCCCCGAGTCTTTTCAATATTCTTATTTGTTCTCAATTTTAAGTCTTTACATGCTCTCATGCTTCTAGAGGTTCTTGAAGATGGTTTCTCTTGCCCTGATGGCGAAATAATGGGTCCGAATGGAAGGACACTGCCTCATCCTACATTCCCTCACCCTGAAAACTGCCAAAAATTCTACATTTGTAGGAATGGAGTCATTCCTCAATACGGAAGCTGTGCAGGAGGTCAGGTTTACAACGAAGAGACATTCAAGTGTGATGAACCTGAAAATGTTCCTGGATGGTAGGTTGCTTTAACTACTGCGCTTATCCTTTCCGATAAGAGAGTTCAGCAATGAATATTTACGTTCTAATTGCATATCGACGGCGTAAGTCCGCAATCACATATCTCGTTTTCTGTGTCTGAAAGTCTCCGCCTCTATGTTATTTTTTTAAAGGAGAACAAGTTGACATCATTCCTTGAAGTTTTTGCAGAGTTGTCTTCGTTCAGAGAAGAAAAATCACGGAGGTTTTAAAGAAGTGCCGTTGAGTAGTTTTCTGTTTAAAAAATAAAGTATGATAGGAAGTCTGCGACATTGCAAACCGAGTTATGTGATTGCCGACTTACACCGTCGATATATAACACAATGAATACTAACCTCAGTCGAGAAAATATTACAAAATATGGACTTATTTGCTGAGCTTTGAATCATTAATATCTGCCTAAACTCGAGGCAAGTAAAACTAAGGAGACCTCAATTTTCTTACAAGGCCAATTAGCAAGTTGTGTAGATTGAGAGCGAATTTCAGGCAGTCCTGACGCTTGCGAATAGCAAGGATGCAAAGAAAATTGGAATTTTAATCATCAATATTCATTTTGTTTGGTGTTCATTTGTATTAACGTGACGAGTGAGTACATTCTGGCAATAATTCGTAGAGCCCGGGCGATAAGTTTGAATAAAAATGATGAAATAACAGCGAAATGAAGGAATCCTGTAAAATTATCTAAGAGCAAACAGAAACGAGCATTTCTGATGAAAAAAAAAAAAAAAAAATCTTCGTGAAGTGTAAAATGGAGCTCAAGTAGAACTTCTCGGAACTGACGCTTTGAAACAAGTTAAGAGGACGGTCTGAGCCAAAGTTTCTTCGAGCAACTAAATTATTTAGAGCCCTATTTATTTTTTGAATCCATAGGATGCGAGGCAGCCGAGAAAGTTCGCAGCTTTTGAGTAAACAAAGCTGAGATTCCGAGCGAGAACCATTTCAGCTCGCTTTCGATGACTTTGTCAGCCAGTGGCGTGGCGTGAATTGCGATATATCGATTGTTATGCCATTTAAACCTATGGTAAAGAATCGATTATGAAGGTGTTCGCTGCGAACACCATATCTATCGATCCTTTTCCATAGGTTTAAATGGCAGATCATTCGATGTATCGAAGCACGCCACGCCACTGTTGTCAGCGCTGAGCGAGAAGAGTCTGTTACACTTCTCGCTGTAAACCTTCGATTGTATAAGAAACCGTGGCCACCGAGGCTCAATCAGAAAATGTAGATAGACCTCTTTCCCTCAACGCGGTCCAATTGATTCGTGACAGAACTGGAGTCAAGTTCGTTACTTTCACAATTCGGGTGGCCAGTTCGGTCACTCCGGTCCGAAGCTCTCGCCGTTCGCATTACCAGTTCATTCGTCTTCATTTGGAGAGACAAATCTTGGGCAACTGAGCTTTCGTCCCCTCAAGACACGAAACTCTCTTCGGTCGGACCCGAATCCGAGGCAATCCGTTCATCTGACTGCCAGATGCAAGGGCTGTTGTGTCCACCGCCTCGAAAAATACAAATGAAGCCGCAGGGAATGACTAATGACTTGCCACCAATTAATCAAACGCCACTCCGGAGCAGATTCCGAGAAAATAAGTTTAGATACCGGAGTTGGATGGTTTCACCTCAAATCTTGTTGCTTTGAGCTGTGACTGATTCTCCGTGTTGTGAATAATCGCGTATTCTAAAAATTCAAATATGTTATGATATTTTAAAAATACCTAAATCTTATTATACGGGTTTTGATCAAATTAGCGAAGTCATATCAAGCCGATAACCTGAGCATACATCTATTCTTTTAAGCCTAAATTCAAAGTAAAAAATATTGCCCTCTTTTATACGAATTTTGTGGTGGGTAGTGGGGTAATTTAAATCTCGTGAATGATTCGTCCTAATGAAGCCATTTTACATATGCGTATATCTATGTTTATTTACCACGTTCAAAATAGTTTTGCCTTGCGCCTGAGATATGACTCTGCACGCTCAGTTTTTTTCTGTTGATATTTCCGTACGAGGAGGAAAAAATCATACTTAATAAGAAAAAGCCAAAAGACAGAGAAAATAGTACGACGAAAGTAGATTTTTAATGTAAAGTAAAGCCGAGATGAAGGGACTACGCCAAAACTTTTAAGACTCTTGTGAATTTTAAAATTAAAAGTCTTAAGAAAACTATCAAAATTCTCGTGCCATATAACAAATTTGGGTACTTTTTAGGCAATTTTAACGAAAAGTTAAACAAAAACTCCTATAATAGAGTTAAAAAACTCTAAAAATTTCAGATTAATTTTTTCAATGCTTGAAATTGTTGACAACCATGTTCAAAAATTCTTGAAAACGCATAAATGTAGTTATGAAGACTTCTACGTGAATTTTACAAAGAGTTAAATTTTACATAAGCAAACAACCAATGAAGGGCTCCGAAATCAAAAATCTCAAAAGTCGCTTCTAATGGTTTTGAAAATTGCTTATTTCAAGTTCATTAAGGGCAACTGTGTGGGGCAAAAATAGTTCAGCTTCTCATTGGTGTGCCACATAAACCGAGATTTGGTCCTTGTAACCGCACACTTGAAAAAAAAATCTCTTAGATCCAAAGTCCAGACTCTTAAGAAATTCAGCCCCCCCCCCAAAAAAAAAAAAAAATTACTCTGGAGTCAAACGAATTTTTGCTTGAATCGAGAGCCGCTTGATCAAAGCGGATTTCCTTTTGATTTGGACCGCGTTAAACAGAAAGAAACTAAGCCACATCACGGCAAATTTAACTGGGCGATACAATTTTTTAAACGCAAACGGGTGTACGGATTTTTGGGCAAATTTCAGTGAATTTACTGCATAATACAAAGTAAATTCATTAAACTTTTCAGAGGAACCCGCACAAATATTCTCTTGTGAAAAATTAATTTGCCCAGTTGAATTTAGCAATAGCTAATGTGGCTTGGTTCCTTTTTGCTTAACGCGGTCCACTTAAGCAAAAAAACCGATTGATTCAAGAGTATTTTTCGCCAAAATTTTCAAGATTCTGGACTCTGCATCCGTGAGACCTCCATGTTGCCTACACGGAGAAAACGAGAAAGTAAAAACCTTGTGCGTGGGACCCGAAGTTTAGGTCAAACGGATCTCTAAAGTTTTCAGATTGAGCATCAGAACACTTCAGGTCTAGCTGTCGAGATTCGGATCACACACCTGAAACTTCAGTTCTCACATCTGAAGTACTTCAGATGTAAGAAATGAAGTACTTCAGATGTAAGAACTGAATTTTCAGATGTCAGACCTGAACTTCGGCAGCTAGACATTAAGTGTTCAGATGCTCGATCCGAAAACTTCAGAGATCCATATGACCTAAACTTTGGGTCCCACGCACGAAGTTTTTTTCTTCGTGTAATATCCACGCAAACTAGAATCTAAGTTGACTTGGTTTTTTATATGAAAAGTTGGGACCCCGTTCTGGGTGTGAGGACTCGACGCTCCCAAAAACACAGCGAGCGGATGGTCCTGCTCTCTCAGAACTACTTCGTGCCCCACACGCGCGGTCACACGCACTCGCCGATCCTCCGCGACCCCGAATACGATGACAGACTCCTCGACGACGACTACTACAACGACGACTTTTTCCGGGCCTTCGACTACCCCAACGCCCGCGTCAAGTCCGACATCATCTCGCACGCCTTCTACGACGACGGCGAGGGCAGCCCTGGGAAAAGCGACGAGTACGACGATGTCCCTTCGTCCGACCGCAGCAAAGCGAGTAAAACTCACGAGCACGCTGAGAAATCCGGGTCGGGCGACAAGGCTGCCGAGGAGAAAGGTGCCGATGATAAGGACCACGCATCTGAGACGGAAAATAGCTCCTCTGAAAAAGAGGCGCATGGTGACGAGGCGGTGAGTGGATTCCACTAGCGCGCAAAAATATATGGGCACCGTTCATGCACCGCTTGGAAATCAGTGGATCGTATTCGATAATGGTTCGATGAATCGTTTAGTTCAAAACAATAGGCCATAACCTCAAACCTAAATTTTAGGATATAAGTCGGAAAATCTGAAAATGAGAAATTTCCTAGCAATTTCACTACAAATAGGCCAAACACTGACCATACATTGGCCAAATAGTACTCATACGAATCAAAAATCTGTCACAAAACCCCGTTCTGTCAGATAACTCAATTGACTATTAAGGCTATGTTTATGTTTTGAACCAATCGGTATCGATAGAATCTTACCCGTTGATGTATCGAATATGATCTGCTCACGCGTCTCGCCTTGTAGACAGATAAGAGGTTTTTGAAAGAGGTGAATCGATGAAAAAATGAATGTGCATCATGCTTTCTTTGAAATTATAGCTTAGCAGGGCTTTCGTTAAATGGCAGGCTACGTGTCCATTATTTGTCCTCCACTTGGATGGTCATGCAATTTGAGCTAACGAGCTGTTCCAATCCCCCACTATCAATTTCGCAGAAAAATTTTTGTTATTATTCTTTAATTCTGCGCAGAATCATAAGGTAGTTTTGTTTAAGACGATTTTATCAGCTTCTAATAGCTCAGCAGAAAACACGTGAAAACACGTTTCATAGGGTTCTAACGATAAGCGCGTCCATATTATATTTGTTGAAAATATTTATCGTATCTGAAATTGATCAATTCTGAAAGTTAGGATTTTTTACAACAATGTTAAATAAAAATCATAAAATTAGGAATTTGGGACGGTAAAAAAACGCAAAACTGAGGAAAAGCAAAGATCTAACGAAAAATTATTGTTAAAACAATATTAAATTTAAAAAATAAAAAAGAATGTTTTCAATACTTGCGGACTTAAACACCCTCACAAATTGCAGCCGTTTAGCTAATGGTGCATCTGATATTTCTTTCACATATAAAACACGCACCCTTGTGTCGCATGCATTAGCTTATCATCGCATCTGTTGAAACTTGAATCCTGAGCTGAATCTCAAACAGCAGGTAGATGACTGACGGAGTTAGCTGGATTTGAATAATACATCGCAGCATTCTCGCAAAGTTTCATCGTCACGCTTCGTGCATCCTCTTAAAATTTGCACTTCACTACACTTTAAATCCAATTCAACAATCGCTTGTAATCCTATAATACCAAGCATAACGCTAAGAGTACACCGGATTAAAGCATATCGATGGTGAAACTACCAAACCACGTATCTCGTTTGCGGTGTCTAAAAATCTCCGCTCTCATTTTATTTTTCTGGAGGAGAACAATTCAATATCATTCCTTGAAGTTTTTACAGAATTTTCTTCGCACTGAGAAGAAAAATCACAGACATTTTCAAGAATTGACGTTGAGTACTTTCCCATTTAAAAATTAAAGTATGGCAGGAAGTCTGCGACGTCGCAAACCGAGATACGTGGTTTGGTAGTTTCACCGTCGATATGGAGTACCCGAATTTCATATTATTATTCAGACGCATCTTTCTAGTTTACCACTTCAACACACCTTTTTTTTTTTTGTCTTTGGCGTGTTGTAGAGTCAAGCATTTTTTTTTTTTTTTTTTGGACCGCATCAGGTGGTTTTAAAATTTTCCAGAAAATACCCAGATCCGTAGAAACATGTTGCCTTACAGCAAAACTCCACAAGAAAAATTTGCTACAAAGGGTGAGCTCAGTGAAAGTAGAAAAATTATTATCGAATGACACATTTCCTGTGTTCCTGGAGCATTTCATTCTTAAGCTACCGCCGTATTGTCAAGATAACCCAAATGTACGTTGTGTAGTGGCAATAGTTGTACAATAATTGTACCTTTCAGTGCATACTATTATTACGATTCCAACTTCGGAGAATTAAATGTATGAGTCTGACTACCTCAAGCCCAAGCCACTGTTTACTCAATATTCTGAGTTAATCTCAGTTAATCATGGAAAAACTATACATATTGAGAGTGAAACTACAAAAACGCGTAAACCAATTGTCTACGTTGTAGGTATCCTGTCATTTTTTAATTTTTAACGTGGGAAACTCCTAAACGGAAATTCCAAAAATACTGCCGTGATTTCTCTTCCGTGTGCAGAGAAAACTCAGTAAAAACTTCAAAGAATAATATTGATTTGTTTCTTTTTTTAAAAAAATAAAATAGAAACGAACATTTCAAAACGCCGTAAACGAGATACATGGTTTGGGAATTTCATCGGCGAAATGAAAAAGTGGTCCACTTCAAATTTTACTACATTTCTTAATGTCCTTAAATGTAGAAATGTTCTATGTAGAAAATAAACACTAGAGATTTCATGTTAAATCACAGACCGTGACCCTTTCTTTTTATATATAAACTTAGGCTTCTCGTATTCGATCTTCTAGTCCCACTTTCAGTTTCTGTTCAAATAACACTTCGTTGATCAAAACGTTTCACTTTTTTTCAGTGAGAACTGGTTCGACGAGGAGGACAAGAGTCAAAATCAAAATCAAAAGAAGCCTTAATTCCTCTTTCATCACACGACACTGCTGCTGAGCGAAAAAGGTAACACGAGGGTAAGGACGATACAGAAAGCACGTCATTTAAAATAAAGGGACCTGTATCCATCCTGGAATGAGCCCTAAGATCCAAAAGAGTGCATGTACGATAGGGCTCATGCTAAAATAGTTATAGTTCCTTTTGATTTTAATAAGTCCAAATCCGTATCGACCAAAATTAAGGTAATTAGAAATGCAAAAATGCCAGATCCTGAATTGAATCAGTACTTTTGAAAAGTGCGAAAGTCTAATTTTTCTTACCTCTTTTTTTTGCACGTATGAAGGAATGTTTACTTGACATTTGCCTTTGGAGGCGTCCGTTACTTGCATTCCAAGAAGCGGACTACCATTGCTTTGTCGGGTAAAATGGCGAAGACAACTGGAGCGTTCAAAAATGAAAAAAAAAATTAGGAAAAATGGATTTTCACCCTTTATAAGAGTACTGACTCGAGTAGGATCAGGGTGAACCGGAATCTAAAAACATGGTCAAATAGTGCTAAAAACTTTAGAACACCCTATTTTTGGTTTTGTTATTCCTCTATCTATCAGAATATGATACTTAACTAGGAAGAAAGTATTTAAAATGTTCGACTTGAGACGAATCTGATTACATTATGGTCGTTATGGTATACTATCGCTTCAGAATCATACCTGTTGTAGTTAGCGTGCACAATTTCATATTTGTTTGGAAGCTGGAATACAAATTGTTCGTCTTACCTACTCCTCACTAAGATTCATGTTACGTCACCAAACGGGACAAAATAAATAGGCAATGTGTGTCCTAAAATCTACTTATTGTTTTCAGCTGTGATTTTGTTTTTTTAGTCAATTTAAGCCTTTTTCAGGTGAAATGAATTCTGGATAAGCATATGCGCCGACTGTTTCTATGTTATAAAAAAAATAATATTCCTTGTGAAACTAATGAACGCTTCAAGGAATAATATTTTGTACAAACTAAGAGCTATAAGTCCGTCAAATGAGAGAATGTTTGTAAATATTATATGTATTTAATGTAGTTATTAAGTTCTTATTTTGAATGTTTCCCCTTAATCTCAGCATCCACAGAGGACAGAAAACAATTTCATAGTCTTTACTTTTTCTCATGAGGGACTTTGCATGTCGATTTATAATTGATGAATTCATTCGACCTGGCAGATTCTCATGTTGAATTTAGTGAATTTAAACTGATTCTGATATCATGTAAAAGTCAAGCTTCAGCTTTCCTGTTGTTCAGATGAGAATCTCGAAGAATTAAAGACGTATCTGTCAATGCATTTGCATCCAAAATAGAGCGAGAGAGACCTGATTTAGGTTGTCAATGAGTATGTCCAAAATGACATCACTCGCATGTTGTGTTTACATCAAAAATTTAGCATGATCACGTTGAAGTTGTCTTCACACTCTCTAATTGAGTGATCGGGACAAGTGTGGAATAAAAGTAAACGTATTTAGGAAATTATTATAAATGAGTTCAAGGCGCACATTTAGTCATACTAACCGCTGAAAACTTGTTCCTGAAAACATGTCATTAGAAAAGAAGAATCATTTTCAGAAATAACTCATTCGATATATCGAGAAGGAGTCAGTCACCCCATCTTGAAAGCTTCAATTGAACTGTGTGAAGACAGCTTGGGCAATTTTGATCGAACTTCACTTTCAAACCTTCTATTTATAAAAATTAACGAAATTTTTACCTTGTTGTTGAGTTACTTTCAAATAAATTATGTTTCATATATTGTGAGCAATTTGACTTCTCGTATTAAAAATGTCCGTTTTTAGTCAATGGAATGACTTTTTTCAACTCACTTTTTATTTTCGTGCATCCATATATATTAAATTAAATTTAATAACATGAGGATAGACTTAATGTATTGTTAGGATTGTAATGGCATAGGTATGCGATGAGGAACGAGAAAGTGCTGGTGCAATTTTTATGAGCTTTAAAACATTAGTGAATAAAAATGGTTTTCTTTGAGATGAGGTATGCGATCAATTGAAGTAAAAACAGCAAGTGCACCCTCTAATTAAAAAGGATTTTTTTTGCAGTCAGAGAACAGACTCCAGGCAAGGTTAAATACCAAATGTAACAATGCCAGTCTCTTCATAACATAAAAGCTTCATAAAGAACACTGAGAGTGCATTTTGACTTACTGCAATCTCAACTCATAATTCAAACTTTTCGCTCGTCTACGCGCACCAAATTTTCCGTTCAACTGATTTCAGGGTTCAATAAAATGAAATCATCGCCAAGCAAAATATTTCAAAATTAATTCATTTTCAATAAATATGTATCAGAAGAGGAGAGAAATTATCGTGAAAAAATCGAGATATCTCTTGACCATTAAGTTCGTTATCTTTTGCTGATTCCGCCCTTGTGTTAATTGGACTGCATTTGCATTTTGGAACTATAAATTCTGGCTCCTCTGGAAAAACACTCGTGTGCATAAGGAAACTAATGGCACATACGTTGTTTTTAAACCCAGGCTAGAATCTGTAGGTCCAAATTGCAAATTGTAGTCCAATTGTTTCTCCTCTCCGAGCATGAGGTTAAATTCATTGATTCTAGTAAGAGAAAAAAATACTCATCCCTCGCTTAAAAGTTCAATTCACGAATTCTGAATTTTCTCAACGTGGTCTGCGTGAAATTTTGAGGAAGAGCCATAAAAAATGACTCAATCACTCTATGTATTGCGATATGCGTATGTGTGTATATAGTTGACGTTTTCGTAGCGCTCTAGGACGATCTGCAACACTTAACCGTCACTGGAATATCTATAAAGGTAGAGATTGTCCAGAAGCTGACATTTCTTCATCTCTTTTTGGATGCCATCCAGCCATCTTTTCGCTAAATGCCCGGATAGGACCCTATCTAAAACATTTTTGGTGACCTGTTATCAGCCTTTTTCTGCATATGCCCTGACTTTACCAACTAATCATTTATGATGTCGTGCACAATTGCCTGCTCAGCGCCAATGATCTCTTGGATACGTTGATTTCTGATACATTCTACCCTAAAGATTCCAGCCAGTCAGCGCAAGAAATCCATTTCTGATGACCTTTAGCTTTTCTTGGATCTGCTTTTTCAGTTATCTTATTTTGCTGCCATGTGACATAAAAGTTTTGACGATTGGGAGATAAATCTTGTTTTTTTTCTTAGGAATTTTTTGATGCCAAAGAATGCATCTGTGCAGTGGTATATTTTTTTAACAATAAACTTCCAATTACAACTTTATACATATTCATATAAAATAAAAAATATATGAATACTTAAGAGGGTAATGAAGGTAAGAAAGACAACGATTTCCTCGTTGTTAACTTTCTATAGATCCGTTTCCTACCGGAAAATAAGGCTGATGATTATTTTAGATGTAAATGGAATACCATGAAACCGTCAAAACGCCTTTTCTCGCGAGAGTAGGCAATTTATAAGTCAACGTTGCTTGGGAATTCGCAAATATAGGCAACGTTTTTGTCACTTTTATCAAACTCAAACGTAAATGTATTTACATATCACTGTCCTTCTAAACACATAAATGAAATTCATACCTATACAATTTTCCATAAAGATCGAGCAATCAGAAAAAAAATGATACTAAAAAGAACTGATCCATCCACACGCAAATAGCGAATATAATAATATGGCATTTATAAATGGCCATTCAACAAAAAATAGTAGAGATTCCTCTCTCACTTAACATTTCTGTCAATACACTCATTTTAAGAAGGTGCGGGATTCCATTATGTAAGTCATTTATATTTTACTCATGTGGTCCCGGATTCGTTACTTATGAATAGTCGTTACACTGTATTCAGTTTTGATTTGGATGACCAATTTGCAAGCTCATCTTTTGGAGTGAACAGATCTCCAATATTTGAGGAAGGATTGGGAGGGGAGCACCTGAAAAGGGAATATGTGAGCACAGTCGCGCGTTAGTAAGCCGGTGTATTTGGGTCAATCTGTCCCAATCTCTGGTGCCTTGAACGGGATGGCGAACACTGAATCGCGTTGAGAAGGGTATGGCTCGCGCTATTGATTTCCGCATCGCCCCAAATGCACATTACCTGTTTGGATGTTTATTTCTCAGAAAAGTTACGATTCTTCCCGGAGAAAATCTTACGGTTCAGGGCGATGTTGAGGAATGTAATGCGTGACTTGAGTTCTGCAGAAAGCACTCGACATGAGTTTTACAATGTAAGAGTAAAGTATTTGTTCATTCAAAAAAAAAAAGAAAGAAAGAAAGTAGTAGTAGTAATATAATTTTATTTTAAAGCGGAAAGAAAGAAAGAAAGAAAGAAAGTAGTAGTAGTAGTAAAATAATTTTATTTTAAAGCGGTGCTTTAGCATCTAAGGCCATTTACACCTCTAAAGAGGGCAGTAACAATAATAAATTTACATGGAAATATCACTAAAAATACAAAGGGTTGAGAGGAAAGGTTAAATTTTGAGATTAGTGGAGCGCATAAATTCAAAAAGTTTCACAGGATGAGTATTCAGAAGTAAATTTTTAAGAGAGGGTAAGGGGTAGGGAAAAAAACGTTTTCGGATATCTTTATAAAGTGGGCAACTTATAAGAACGTGATCTACCGTTAAGGGGGAATTTGGACAAGAAGTGCAAGCAGGACGGTTTGATTGGAAAGAAAGAAAGAAAGAAAGAAAGAAAGAAAGAAAGAAAGAAAGAAAGAAAGGAAAGAAAAGAACTGAATATAATTATGATTATTTTGTGGCTACTTTAAAGGTTGTCTTAACAGGAACAAAATTGACAAGACACACCTACACCAGGATCTGCACGAAGAAAATTTTGGGGAAAAACCCATAATCATTGATTTATTTAGTTTCCCATTTAACTCCTGATTTATTTAAGTATAAATGCATGTATGAGATTTTTAAAAATAAAAAATAATATCTCAATCCAACTCCACCAGGAAAAAACAGAGACCCTCCACAACTATTCCCCCAATAACGTCAACTACTCATTTGGTGGCTCAACATTCTTCAATGGAGCAGCAAACACTCACCTTGTTTTCTTATTGGCTAATTTGCTACGTTTATAGTAATATGTCCAACAAGTTCAAAGAACAAAAGGTTTGTTTATCAAACGAACTGTGCAACACAAGGCTCAACAAACAACGAGGAAATAATCCCACAGGTTGAGCAGTGAAGCCCCGAGGCTAAGTTTCCACTCATCTTCAAGAGGATAGTGAAGGGTTTGTATTGTATCTGGATGCAATATGGACGGCTAAAGTCGGAAATTGTGTACCTCTATGGCAAAGTTGTAAGATCTCTGTATTATTTATTAATTTTTTAAAACTGGAAACCAACCAGAATATCTCGGTGAAATTATCTATAGTTATTTTTGAACGAGAGCAGAACATCTAAAACAGGAAAATTATTGATTCGGTTTTTTCAAAAATAAGAAAAGAAATAGTGAAAACACGATTGGTGACTTGCGACAGTGTAATAGGAGTTCCGCACTTCCAACTTTGCCCATCTATGAGCTTGATCGATTTCTTATAATTTCATCGATTTTTAAACATGATCACTGATCCAAAGAAATACTGTCGTTTAAAAATTATGTACATAATGGCCTACGCACCATATCGACGCTGAAAGGATGAAACTGCAAAAATGTGTATCTCGATTGCAGCGTTTCGAAATCTCCGCCCAAATTTTCTTTTTCAAAAAGGGACGAACCAGCATCAAGGCTAGAAGTTTGCACATAATAATATTCATAAGAAGAAGAAAAATCACTGAAATTTTCAAAAAATGGCGCTCTGTTGTTATTTTCTATGCAGAAAATTAAATATACCAGGAAGTCTGCAATGCCGCAAATCGCGATACGCATTTCTGCAGTTTCACCATCGATATGATCTGTTACATTTCGCTCTTACTCCATTATGATTCTCATGAGAGATTATTTTTTTTATTTTTTTTATTTTATTTTATTAACATTAGTGTACATAAATAACACAAACATAGTGGCCGAGATACTTGTCAGTAAAAACCCTCCAAAAATTACATTTTGAACATCAATATAAAAATCACTTAGAGAATAAAATGCCTTATAAACTAATAAAGTCTTTAACTCCTTGATAAAAGCGTTAACTTCCCAGTCTTTCAACACTTTTCTTTTATTTTCAACTAGATGAGCGATCTCAAGCTACGATCAGATATGTTCCAAAGCCTAAACGTCTTGTTTTAGCTTCAGCTATGAAAAGAGAGTGACGTAATCATGAGGTCCCATATAGACGTCATGAGTAAAATATGTATGGTAGCAAAACCTTATTATGAATACATTTAAATATCGAGGAATCCGAAGCTCCACGATGACCCCTTTTAAGCGGAGAAAGATCCAATTACGTAGGCAGAGGTGTCATAAAAGAGGCCGAAAAGAAGGGAGAAAAGGCACGGAAAGAGATTAACGGAGGGATTAAAAACGGACAAATGAATATCCCCGGCCGGCGACGGTATTTACATGATCACAAGTCATCAGAGTGAAAAGGGTTTCGCCTTCTGAGCCCCGCCGCCCTCCTGACCTACTTCTCCGCTCAAACGTGAAAAAAGGGTGTTAAAATCCACGCCTCGCAGGAAACGTTTGCTCAACCCCCTCTAAACCTCGCACGGTAAGTAAGTGATTCCGAGAGGGCATCGGCCCCTGATGGAAAGGAAAATTAAGATAACTTGATAAACACCTATTGCGGCGTTTCGAATATTTCGTCAAATGCTCGCATTTTTCTTTCTTCATTTTTAGGAATGAAGAATTAGCACACAAAAATGTTATTGCTTCATC